TTGTCGTTATCTTTATGAAGGTCCAGTCTTTTTCTGTTGATCAATTCCGGCCGTTTATACTCAATTTCTTGCTTGGGTCTCATTAGTTGTTGGCAGTAGAGATCCGAATCGATTGGTTTTGCCCGGCATTAAAAGCTCATAATAAGCGATTCCCTTCCAGTCCCACCATACACACATCATCACCTTATTGCGTGTTAATCCGGGTTTCGCTGCAGTATGTGGAGCTTAACTACCCTTTGACCATGATCTTTGTCACACGTTCTTATCTCACGTATATTACAGTAATCAATATTTTCAAAAATTGTTCGGTTTCATTACGTTTCAATAGAGAATCGATAATGAGTACACGATTCATTAGGGTTCTTTCAGTGAGCCAAATATCGAGCTTTGTATAGCCAGACCTTTACAAATGGGTCAATCCTCAATTCCTCGGCTATGTTGTAACTACTAATATACCAATCTTGCTCCACTTTTTCAAAAATGGCATCGATTGTATCTGTATAAGGGCGACCAAAGCGAGCTGCATTTCTCACATCAAAATTCCCGGACTGAAGACGCTTAAACCAACTTTGTGCCACTCTTACTGACACTGCATTAATTCTATAAACCTTAGTACCCAAAATTGTCCTTTGTGGTATACTTAAATTTTAACCTGTATTTGGAAGTGTACGTTACTTTAGTATTTGTTTGTCTGTACGCACACAATTACTTATTTCTATCTTTTATTTGCAATTTTATAATAAAACTATTAATCTAGTCGTATGCCTTTTTCGCCACTGCCCTATTTTTCTAATTTATAAATTTATTTATTGGCACAACTGTTTTTCGTTTAGAGAGACATTCTTCTCGTATACTTCTACTAATATACTAATTCTAGGATCAAAATTTTTGTAATAAATTTTATAAATTTCATTTGATATTATGTAGAATTATTCAATGAAATTGGTTTCGAGAAGATATCTCATGATAGACAGACACACAAAGACAACCATAGGCGTAGAAATAGACAGGTAAGCACTCATATAAGTCAGAATAAAATTAAGAAATATTAACGTATATTGATAATTTTGTCGTTACATTACTCTAAGTATTATCGATATTTTTAAAATACTAAGGCTCGATAAAAGCTGAGTTAGAAAATGATTGTTTCTGTCCTCTACTATATGATTAGCGAAGTCGTGTCGTGAGAACGTGCAATCGGCGCTGAAAACTACTCCATAATTAATAGACTTCGAGCGATTGTTCATAATTGAAAATAAATCACAAGCGACAACCGTTTAACAATTATTATATTCTATTTATACGAGATATCACAGATCATCATCATCTTCATCTTTATCATCATCACTTCGTCATTACAACACTTCTTAACTCCTCTGCTAAACGGGCTTCCTTTAAGGTAAGCCACAAAACACAGTCCTGAGTTACCTGCATTTACACTATTCTACTAATAAAATGGTATATTGTGTTATAAATTACGAAAAATACTACGGCTTGACAGGTGGGTAGGCGCTTGTCAAGCGTGAGAAATATGGCTCTGAAGAAAGATATCATGGGTACATAAAAAAACCATTAGCTTCAGATGGATATGTATAGCTCCCAAGATAATATTTATAGTAACCAAGCTAGTCATTGTCTGGTGGGAATTATCGTACCGACGTAAAATTCCCAAAATTCAACTTGGCGAGTGCACGGCGAATAATTAACTGCCTCGGGTTCTGCTGTACACTTTTACGAACTGATGCGACGCGACGATGTTCTTGGCCGATCTTGCGTTCCTTGAACATACGGATGGATTGGCTGATTGTTTCCCGAACCGGTCGTTTCAAATTTGGCCACAAAACATTAAAAGTTAACTATGAAGGGCCACCACGTCTACCGTAAAATGGGCGCAATTCGCGCAACGTTAGCACTAACGAACATTCATTTTGATAATAAGGTTTTATCATTTGCTGTTCAATGGTGTAACTTGCCATGGTGATTTGGCATAAGTAACCGAATAATAAACGAAAGATTTGATAGATGTCACCAAAACAAAATGGCCGCCACGGTCCGCCATGGGCTGCCTAAATCTACCCGCGCTAATTGAAAATCCAATTATAAACGATGGTTATGCCGATATTTCATCTATCTGAAATCATGATATCTTTTTTGTATTTCTAATTGTTTACTCTTGCACAGGACAAAAAGGATAATGGATGATGGATTTAACACCGTCAAAATAAAATTGAAACAATAGTGTAGTATTTAAGACATTCATACACATCGAGCAGTAGACTATTTACGTGCTGCTGAGGCAGAAAAACCATTTCTAGACGAGCCACAAGTTATATTATATGAGTGTACACTATGCATTATAGTTTTCACTCAAAGGAAACTTAACAGTAACACCTTAATCGATCGAAATTACCATGATTCTAACTAATATTTTCAATAGGTACTTATGCGAGCATTTTTTAAAAGAAATTCGTACCTTGCAAACGGCTCTAATGGCTTGGATGAAATTTTGTATTTATATAATGATTACCTTCCAAGTTTATCTAGATAGGTACCATAACTGAGACAACTACAATTTTGTTTCTATCGGCAAAGCTTAAATGGAATTAATTGTTATTTATATATGTGTATCTAATTCCGCCAACTTCAGTTAAATGGACGGTTAACAAGTATCAATAATTTATAATTTTAAATTGCAGGAATTTTCAGTCCTGTAATTTCGAAAACTATTGTTCTGTAATTCTACCAGATGTGTTTTAAATTTTTTAACATTTGGTTGCTAAAGTAGGTCAAAAAGCGGTGGTCGTTTGTTGTTTGGGAAAGAACAGATGGTGAAAGTCTCAGCAGTGCCATATACGTGGTATAACGATTAAGGGACAAGAGTATCTTACTGAGTCACGATCTGAATTTCGAACTTCATGAAGGTCCAATCATCACCATCAACGTTCAGCTCCTACAAGTCCACTGCTGAACATAGGCCTCCCCAAGGTAAGCAAAAAAGCGCGGTCCTGAGCCACCTGCATCTATTGCTTTTCCGCTTGTTTTCACTCCACCCGCTTCACAATCCCTCGGAAAGTCCTATATATAAGTACATTTTAATGTGCAAATGATTACCTATTTAAAAGATAAAAATACGTGGACATAGTGAGTGCGCTTCCTTAAACTTACCGTTATAAGGTAAAAAGGTAACGATGATGATGTAGCTTTCTTGACGAAGAAAAAGGGCTTTGCAAAAGCCAATTTTGAATAAAAATATTTTGTCTTTTTGGCGCTTATTGTTAGATTTATATATTATTGTAATTTAGTAATTTGGTTTTTAAGTAAAGTAATAAGTTTTCTTTTGAAAAGGACGGAAAGTTACTAATGTGCTCCTTCGTGTGTTTCATGTTTCATATTGTATGCTATGTTTTACATTATACGATGTAATGACACGTATTTCGCCATTTAAAGAGGCCTTACGATAGAAAATACAGCATCCGGGTTGACTATGAAAACCTTAGCCCCCCCCCCCCCCCCCGTGACCATGGGTGATATAAAGCACTTGAAACGTCGGGAATTAAAAAGTTAAAATAGAACGCGATGTTGAGCTCGCACGTGTGTGACGTCCTCTAGCTAAACATAGCAAAACTACGCTGCATGTTTATTAGGAAAACATTTCAGCTATTCCCCAGTAGGTGATGCTAGTAACTGTAAAGTAAAACCCCGTTTTAGGAATGTTACCGTATCGACATCAAAGTATCGATAATGTTGTTGAAGGTTACTTAGTTTGTAATGTTTTACGATATAATACTAGGGAATATGCATGTTTTTTACTGTACAAATCTATTTCTTATGACTCCTATCACACCAAAAATATCATGTAAACTTTTTTAATCATGAATAACCTCATGAATGAAATGAAACGTTATGAAATAAAATATTTAATTTCCAATAACTAAGAATTAATTCAAACAGCAGTCACATTGGTAACGTCACTAGGTCCATTAGACGCTTTCATAGTAGCATATGATTGGTCAGTCGGCGTCGAAGGCACATCGTGAAACGTCAAATCTAATAAGAGAGCGCCACCATGTTTTTCAAATTCGTTTCTTTTACAAATATACACTTTAAATCTAACATATTTTAGGAAAGCACTGAATTTAAAAGTCGTTACACGATAAATTATTTCAAAAATTAACAAGTTTGCGCGTTTACCGCTGAAAGAACCCCTTTGTCGTATCTCCTCAATTTCAGAGCTCTTCCTTTGTTGCACCAGCCAAAAGCGGAATCTTTGGCGTCGACGTATCGAATGACCTACAGTAGCGTGGTTGTACTGGCTGACATAGACGTTTCACCTCGTGTGTGCCTCGACATAGGCCCACCCGATTTCTTTATTGGTATGGATACAGTATCGTTTACTGTCTCGCCTCTTTAAATATTGTAGATGATTAAATCTGCATCCTGTATCATATTTTTATCGATAAGACCAATCGATAAACGTTGTCAATCACTAAATCATTTGGTGTGTTACTAAATAACAGAGGGCGCTTATTACAATAATGATAAATGTTCCAGAACAATCTACCAGAAATAATAAAATTTAAAAATTATGGGATAAATATACATTATACTTGCGATAATAAACCGAAATCACATACATTTTTTGCTACATATAAGGACTTACAATACCTTAATGCACTATCGGGCATATTTTCTTTTTAAATTTTCTTTAAAAATATTTTTTTTAATTTAGGAAAGGAATACATTTTGAGCTTTTGACGATGTCACTAAGACTAAATGACACAAATGCGAAATATATCCTATAGGACATAAGTAAGAGGTGACAATTTTGTTGGTGATCCGGTCTATTACTACTGCTACTTAAATGTCTCATTGTTTCATTTAATATGTAGTGTTCGCGTAAATATAGTAAATCATTATATTTCAGCACCTTTTTTTAAACTTTGAATTTTCAGTTCCCGTCTACATGGTTAAAATGGTTCCACGGTGTTCAGTGTGCTGCGATGGACCGTCGCGCGTCAATCTCTCCCTCAACGCCTAGTAGCCGCAGTATGGACAAGTACGAGCAGCTGGCTGTCGTAAGTCTTCTTTTTCATTTGAACTTTTTTCAGGCTGTTGCTATTTTTATTTTTTGTTTTTATTCATTAATGATATTATACATTTTAATGAATAAAAATAAAATGTTATACGTGGTAGGGCCACGCTGCAGCTATATTAGTAGTATAGTTGTAGCACGAATGGTTCGGCTCGACCGGGGAAGGACCACGCTCTCACAGAATACCAGCGTTAGCAGCTTAATACTGCTGTGTTTCGTATGGTGAGTGTAGAGAACCAGAGACACTTTTTACTGAAAAAAAAGGCATTCTATCTTAGTCCTCACGGGTGGATAGATGTAGATGTTTATGGGCCACTGCAACCACTTACCATCAGGTGGACTGTGTGCTCGTTTGTCACCATATCCTATAAAAAGAACCACAAGGAATACCAACAATTTTGGCATTACACTCAATAATTGACAACAAAAAAGCAATTGAAAAATAAAGCCAAGAGTCACTTTATTTATTCAAACAACAAATAAAAATATAAAATTAATCATATGATCTTATATGAACAATAAATAGTAAATTAAAAAGAAAAATGATAAAATAACCTACAATGGCCGATGTTTAAATAAAACTAATTTTACGGATTTTTTCACGTATATTAACTTATTTTACTTTCCCGACGTTTCAAGCACTTTACAGCACCCATGGTCACGGGGGGGACTGAGGTGTATGACGTCCCAATGTCATAGTTAACCACGGCTACCTCCAGATTAAAAATTATTAATTTTTGTTCCGATCTACGCAGTATGAACTTACAGTATCATGAAGTCTTGCAGTTGTATGCTTGGGTTGGGATTTAATTTTATTAATTATGGGATCCCAAGCAGATGGTAGAACCCAGCCATCTTCTCTATTGAAATTAGGATGTTTTTTGATTTCAATAGCCTCGCGAATCATCCTTGGAAGGAATCGGTGTTCTTTAGCGAGGATTTGTGGTCTATCAAATCTAATGTAGTGACGGGGGCGATCCTGTACGTGTTCACAGACTGCAGACTTCCCGGAGCGTCTATTCTTCACATCAGCTATGTGTTCTTTAACGCGGGTTTTTATGGATCTTTTAGTTTGTCCTATATAAGAGAGACCACATTCACAATCCAGCTTGTACACTCCTGCATCTTGCAGAGGAATATTACACTTGACTGATGGTAAAAACTGACTAATCTTCTTCGGCGGCTTGAAATATGTTTTAATGGAAGCACGCTTCAAGATGTAGCCAATCTTGTCAGTGACACCTCTGACATATGGCAGTACAGCAGGCACTCGCTCGACTGTGGCCGGCTTCACTCGTTCACTGTGACGTAGGCGCGGGACCCGAAGCTTATTGTCGTGCAAAACTTGCTTGACGTATTGGAGCTCGGCGGCCAGGTGTTTACTGTCACAGATCCCTCGTGCTCTCTGAAACAAAGATTTACCCACGGTAGCTAACTGTGAAGGATGGTGGTGAGAATCACCGTTTAAATATCTATCTGTATGAGTCTTTTTTCTATATACATTGGGACGTCATACACCTCAGTCCCCCCCGTGACCATGGGTGCTGTAAAGTGCTTGAAACGTCGGGAAAGTAAAATAAGTTAATATACGCGAAAAAATCTGTAAAATTAGTTTTATTTAAATGTGTAGTGTTCGCGTAAATATAAGAAATCATTAAATGGCCGATGTGCCAAAAATTCTTAGCAACGTAAAAGCATTTTTTTTAACCTTAAGGTTTTAGTGTAGATGCCCGATTCTCCTCTCTTATCTTAAAGACTCTACCTCTTACCTTACCCCATACCCAAAACTGGTACCTTAAAGACACGTTGTAATCGGGTGGAAAGACGGACGCTATTAAATTATTCCACTATGTCCATTGTCTAGCCCTAATTTCGTAATTCTTCTTTCGGAATGTCTCAAACTAGCCATCTGCGCACGCGCATATTACACGAACGTGTGCGCAGAGGCAGGTACTCTGTATATTCCCCACATAGTCCGATGAACAGCAATCTGACGCGACCGGAAAGAGATCAGACGCAGGACCAACGGCTTCATGTGCTTTCCGACGCACGAGTGTGAAGCTCCGCCGACTTCCTGACTCAGGGCTGCTACTTGACAGAAGATCTCTTCAACTGATTTTGGCCTGATATCCAGAATTCGAACCCAGGGACCACATACTCGTCAGTCGCGCTTACTACCACAAGACCATCGAGGCAGTTGAATAAATATCAGCACATATACATACATAGAGTCTATAGGGAACCGTCGAAAGAATTCCTTTATTTCGGTTATTTCAGCAGCACCGACATAAACGCTATGTCGTCGTCATTAACTTTAATACTTAAATAGGAATATGCACGTACAGAACGTGCGTGTAGTCTGCAGTGTCACGATTGTAATCCTCGAGGGATAGGCAGAGTCCAACTTACAACGTTAGTAACATTTGGAAATAATCTATGCAAAACTATGAAATCAAATCCAATTGTATTAAATTCCACGCGGACGAAGTCGTACAGCTTTCGTTATTATTGGATTTAATTTTTGTGTGAAGGTAGGTGAAGGCTCGTATGGCGTGGTGCTGAAGTGCCGGCGCCGCGACACTGGACAGCTCGTTGCCATCAAGAAGTTTCTCGAAACGGAAGATGACGCAGCTGTCCGCAAGATGGCGCTGCGTGAAATACGCATGCTTAAAGTGAGTTTTCATAAGTTTCGCATAACGAACATAATACTATTATGATGACATGAGACTTAGTCTTCAGGGGCAGTAGCAATCTAATTTGGAATTGGTTAGTAATGAAAACGGCTTACTTTGGCTACTTACCGTCAGCTAGACTATATAAAAACATCAGCCTACTCTCCCCTAATGTGTTTAATTTGTTTTAAGACATACATGCCGTTAAATTTATTTACGATGATGATGAATTGACTCCTAAATGATTTCGAACACAGCCCCTAGAGTTTATGAAATCGTACAGTTAACGTATCGCTATCGATAACTTTGTTACCAACGTTGTAAAATTCTTCGCTATATATATTTTATAATAAAAACAAATCTTGAGCTAAAATTCCCCTGCTTTACTTTGTCTTAATCTTGTCCGTAGACTTTTATGGGCTGATGACGATGATGAAAAAGAAGAAGTACTTATTATGGATTAATCCTTATTGTATAAAAATATTATCTTGTATTTTATTGGTCACCGTGTAATGACGACTGTTTCATTCCACGGGTGTCATTAGATGTGATAGAGAGAAAGTTAAAGATGAGATGAGCAACAGTATCTTCCTGATAACAATGATTATATGCTGATAATGAAAATACAACTTCCCACGCGTGGCGACTTTGTCAAATATACCTACTACGAGTAGCTGATAGATAGCAAGTTAGGATAATAAATAATTGAAATACTGTTATTATATCACATTTTAGAAGCTTCGCCACGATCATCTGGTGAATATGATAGAGGTTTTCCGTCGTAAGCGGCGGTTTTACCTCGTCTTCGAGTATTTGGACCACACCCTGCTGGATGAATTGGAAGCCTCGCCTGGAGGACTGGGCGAGGATACAGCCAAGAAGCACCTGTACCAGCTATTGAAGGGAATTGACTACTGCCACCAGAACTCTGTAATACTTTTATAATTATATATTTTATTATGGCACTTGCTTGCCTGGCAGACATTGTTGTGCCCTTGCCGGTGGGCGATACGATGAGTTTCACCCCAAATTCATTATTTACTCTTTTACAAAGTAAATATAAATATTATTAATAACTTTAAAATAATTCTAAACCTATTGGGTCCAGATTGTGATTATCATTTTTCAAAATGAACCAACAATTAGGTATACATTTGATCTTCAATAAAGAATTTATTCATTACTTGACTACAACGCCACCTATCGGATGCAAGCATAACAACGAACCATTGTCTCGACTAAAGAAAGGTATCGTATGAATATTGTGACCTCAAATGGTTCAAAAATTACACGACCACTAACACACGCACCAACATATTTCTGATTATGATTCCACTTTTCCCTTCATACTTTAAACGGGCTAAGGACCGACATAACAAATAAAATTAAAAAGAAAAGTTAAATTTTAACGACGTTTAGTTTAGTTTAGTTTAGTTTACGACGGGCTGTTTTCCGCAACTCCACGTCTATGCGCGTATTTTGCGTGTGGGCAGGAATAATGTGATTATTCGAGCCATGAGATCTCTCCGAAGAAGCTCAACAGGCCCTTGATGTTGCATGCAACTTCGGGGAGTGATCCCGGCGTGCCGAGATGTTTAGCCCTGTATGTAGCGACCTCCGGACATTTCAGTAGCACGTGGGCCGCCGTTTCTTCCTCGCCCATACATGCCCTGCACAGGGGACTATCTGTAACACCTATAGTAAATAAATGTTTGTTAAAGGTGCCGTGTCCTGTGATAGCACTTGTTACTATCCTAATCTGCGGCTTGTTCAGTCTCATTAAAACTTTTGTTAAGCGACTGTTAATTTCAGGCAGGGCATCCCTAGCTTGTCTACAGTCTACTAGATTTTTCCAAAGCTGAGCGTGTTGATTAGTGAAGTGTCTACGTACCAGTGAACAAACGTTACCAAAGGGGATTGGTATGATTGGTTCCGGCCCTATAGTGGCCAAAGCCGATCCTCTTCTAGCCAGTTCGTCTGCTGCATCGTTGCCTCTGGATCCACTGTGTCCCTTTATCCATTGCAGGGTCACATTGTTGTTTTTACATACCTCATTTAATCGTTGATGGCATTCATATATTAGTCCCGAGTTCACCACATTGCATCTCAGGGCTTGGAGTACCGCCCTACTGTCGGTCAGTATTCTGATGGGGAAGTCATTAACCTTCCTAGCATCTATTGCTATGGCCGCTTGAATGATACCCATACATTCCGCCTGAAAGACCGTGTTATAGGTACCCAGCGGTGTGCATATGTGAATATTGAGGTCTTCAGAGAAAGCTCCAGAACCTACACCTTCATTTGTTTTAGAACCATCGGTGAAAATTCTAAGCTCTTTTGGGCTTAATCCTTCCGGCTGGCTGTTTTCATTTAACTGTATCTTGTATTTCTTATCGAAAACAAATTGTTTAGGAATCCTATCGTATTTGGCTTGTAGGATAGGAATTTTTGAGTGAATTCTATCAATTATACCTGTATGAGGGACACTATTCTTACTCCAAAGATTTAGGGTCTTGAGTCTGATGGCAGCTAAAGTCGCTTCTTGTTGTATATGTAGATGAAGCGGAGTTAGCTCCAGCATCGCTTCTAAGGCTGCTGTTGACGTAGTTCTCATGCAGCCTGTGGCAGCCATACATGCCAGTCTCTGGTAGCGCTGAAGCTTTTTAATTATGGTGGCTTCATTTGTCTTGGTCCACCATACCAGAGCGCCGTATGTGATCATGGGCCGAATTACAGTTTTGTAAAGCCACAGTATGATTTTTGGCGTCAATCCCCATCTTTTGCCAATCATGTTTCTGCATTGCCAGAAAGTTATACTAGCTTTGTTGATTTTGTTTTCTATGTGTTTATTCCAGTTAAGTTTGCTGTCCAAGGTAAGACCTAAATATTTTACCTCAGAGGATAGCTGGAGTTTTGTGCTAAAAAGACTTGGAGGATGATAGTTATTCAGCTTTCGTTTTTGTGTGAACATAACTAAAACCGTTTTATTTGGATTGACGGTTAAGTCGTGTTCCCTGCACCATCTCTCCACTATACGGAGAGCCGCTTGGGTCAGGTCGCACACTATGCTTGCTGTCTTTCCAGAGACCAGTATTGTCAGGTCATCAGCATAACCTACTGTATAGAAGTGATTGTCATTTAATTTGCTGATGAGTTCATTAATGACCATATTCCACAGGAGAGGTGAGAGAACCCCACCCTGCGGGCAGCCTTTCTTAATTTGGATTGGTTGAGATTCACCAGCAATCTTTATTATTCGTGTACTGAGCATGTAAACTATCCAGTCGATCAGTGCCGGTTCAACTTTGTGTCTACCGAGTGCACCTTTTATGCTGGAGAAGTTCGTTCGGTCAAAAGCACCTTCTATATCTATGAAGGAACCTAGACATATTTCTTTGTTTTGGATGGCCTCTTCAATCTTTTTAATTACCTTATGAAGGGCCGATTCTGTTGATTTGCCTAGACTGTAGGCGTGTTGCTTGTCGTGTAGTGGTAAGTTCATTAGCGCCGACCCCCTTAATTCCCTTTCACACATCCTCTCCATCGTCTTTAGGAGAAAGGATGTGAGGCTAATGGGCCTGTAGGATTTAGGGTCAGTGTAGTCACTCTTACCTGGTTTGGGTATGAATGTAACTTTCACTTCCCTCCATCCCCTAGGAACATATTTAAGAGCAAGACAGGCTCGCATTATGGCAGCAACGACGTTATATATTTTAACGACGTTATCAAAATTATATTTTATCGACGATAACTGTCTTTATTATGTACCTCTATTAACAATTTAAAACGATTACCTACTTATTTCCAACAACGAACTATATACAACTTAAGTACGCAATCACTTAAAAAATTAAACTAAACATTCACAAAAATGTTTTCAAGGTGGACTATCGCTATTATTCAGTAGTTTCCACACGTACTAGTTAACTCTGAACTCGAGCTGCATCATTGATGCTAGCGCGTGGGTTTCGCTCGAAAAACTCGATCACTGCGTTTTCGACAGCCGGGCTTATTACAGAATGACCACCTCGAGCACTTTTCGTTTGAGTTTTCTACCGACTTCAAAAAGGAGACGTTACTCAATTCGACTGTATGTTTTTTTATTTGTGTTACCTCAACCATTTTCTGGGTTTTTTGTAGAAATTTCTATTAAAAAAAAACTCATAACTTTTTTCTGGGTGAACCGATTTCGATGATTCTTTTTTTATTTGAAATCTGGTGCTTCTCATGTGGTTGGTTATTAGTGGTTAATCAATTAGTTGCGGCGCTGAGGGCCGCGTGTTGAATCCCGCACGGAACAAGTATTTGTATGGCTTACAAATAATTGTTCCGGTTCTGGATGCTTGTTCTTGTGAAATGTATGTCCACGATATAGGGGAAAATGCTATTGTGGAAGTAAAGTTTAAAAGAAAAGTTGTATAAAGTTTTGAGGAACGCAACTTTTACAATCACCTAGTGTCGTTTATATACCTATGTCCTCTGCATCCTTTTTGCTCCAATATATGTTGATATAGGCTAGTGTCTTTTTTTTTTATTATATAATAAAATAAATGCTTTTTATTACTATATTATATCAATGACAACGACAATCTCGTGCAATTATGGATTAAATATATTACAGATAATACACCGCGATGTCAAACCGGAGAACGTGCTGGTATCAAACACTGGCATCGTCAAACTTTGTGATCTGGGCTTCGCGAGAGCCCTGGCGGCTCCCGGGGAACCCTACACCGAGTACGTCGCAACGCGCTGGTACCGAGCACCCGAGTTACTGGTCGCGGAACACAGGTTTGTTTTTTCTTTAAAAAACGCTACCCCCTTTCTTGGCTTGTTTTTTTGCTGTATCGTGGAGGCAGTTCACAAACATAAAATTGAGAAAGACAAACATCCAGACCCGGAACAATTATTTGTATCAAATACTTTTTCCGTCCGGTATTCGAACCCGCGATCCTCGTCGCCGCAACTCATTGCTAAGGTAAGTAATGAGTTTTAACAGCACAACATTTTTAAAATTTTTAAAACACAAATATTTATTTATTTTTCTCCATATTAATATAAATAAAGAGACAAAAAGCCCTAAAATAGTAATGACCTTAAATGGCACTGTGGGTCGATGAACGATGTATATACGTAGTATCAGTAAGATTAATATGGATTCTACAGGTACGGTCCAGAGGTAGACATCTGGGCGATGGGCTGCCTGTTCGCTGAGATGCTAACTGGGGACCCGCTGTTTCCCGGTGACTCCGACATCGATCAACTGGCACTTATCATTAAAATTGTTGGTGAGATGTGATTGATTATCCTGATTGTTTTTGTATAAACTCTAGGGTTATAAGAAAATATTATTAATATATAGGCGTTATCTAAGTTACCAAGAAGCCCTGTCCGATCCGTGATGGTGATATTCGTTATCGCTATTTAGTTCTATGTAATTATTGCTTTGGATTAAATAATTATTAAAAAAAAGAATAAAAATGCCATTGAATGGGGAAACTTACACGAAAACCCCGCACGCAAAGGCAACGATAGTAATCGCACAGCTGAGATAACCGCGAGCAGCTGCGCGACAAGGTCATTGACCCGATAGCCCCGCCCATTTATCCACCAATTTATTGTTTGATTATGATCGCTAGGAATAATTATTTAGTATTTTTTTAATAAAACTGAAGTGACAGACGACCTTACGGTCCAAGTCCATGGACACCTGCAGCCAACTTCAAACAAGGCTATAAGATGGTGTGGCCGGTGGAAGGAAAAGGGGAGATCTCCCGCCGGGCAAGATGTTCTGCCTGGGGAGTGGCCAACGCTCCGCGTGGTAGTTCGGAGCTATTCTCCCTCACAGTCCGTAATTAAACTGGCTCTCTATACCGTAAGCTGAGAAACATGAAAGCAGAATAAATGCAGTTGAGATGAGAGCGTTAAGAAGTATGATAGGAGTTAAACTGAATGACAGGATATTAAATAGTGAGAAAAGGAAACGTTGTGGTCTGAAAGAAGATATAGTGACAAAAATTGAGAAAGGTATGCTGAGATGGTTTGGCCATGTCGAGAGAATGAATGAAGAACGATTGACGAAAAAGTGTATAAGGTGAGTGTGAATGAAAGTGTTGGAAGGGGTAGACCTAGGCGGACGTTTCTAGACCAAATCTGGGACGTCTTGAAAAAAGGCCAGGTCAAGAGTACCCTAAACCGAAGAGCATGTATGAAGGGAATAATGAAAGTGGACGAAGCGAAACAAGTATGTAAGGATCGTAGCAAATGAAAAGAAGTGGTCTCTGCCTACCCTTACGGGAACGAGGCGTGATTATATGTATGTATGTATTATTCTTACACCGCCACTTAATACGGTATGCTTGATTTGCTCCTTCGATTTGCTTTCATAGTGGGAGGTAATTCAGACAACTGATGAACTGATGAACAAAATCCGAAAATGTCTCATGAAGGCGGAGGCTTGTTCAGCAGTGAACTTTTATTGGCTGTAATAGATGGAATGGATGGATGGAAGTAAATATAAAGACATATTCACGTCTGTTCACTGTTTATCTGTTTGTTCGAGCAGGCAAGCTGGCACCCCGGCACCAGCAAGTGGTGTCGCGGCTGGCGGGGAGTGCGGTGGGGAGCGGGGTGCGGGGCCGCGCTCTGCCGGGCAACGGGCTGGCGCGAGACCTTCTCGCCGCCTGCCTGCGTACAGAACCGCGCGCTCGGCCGTCCGCCGCCTCACTGTTGAGACACAAGTAATCACAATTTATTTTTATTTATTGTTTTTAACCTCGTTTAATGAATAGGAACATAAAGCGGATTTAATGCTAAAAGCATTCTATGTTAGTCAACTTTAGAGCACGTATGTAACTTAGACGTAGACACGGCACGGCACATGCAATTTTTGCATATATTTTTATATCTATAGTTCTAGTTCTAACTAGCGACCGTCAAGCTGCTGAGGCACAAGTTATCATCTACATAATATACCATCATATCTCACATACACATCTAGATATATCAGCATTTAGCGTAGGCACGGCACACACACACACCCAAGTTCTATTATATAAATACTCGTAGAACTAGTGACCTGCCTGCGCACGGAGAAACAATGCTGCGACACAAGAAATCACAATCACATCTATATTTACCAACTACACAGACGCAAGTTAATAAATGAGCACAAAGTCCAGCTGATGTTAAGTAGATGCTGTGGCCCATACAGTTTTAATAGAGCCTCGAATAAGAATCAAAATGCAGATGCGTTGTCATCACTGAGGGTTGGACTGTGTAAAGTAAAAAGTGTCTACGGTTCTCTACACTCACCATACAAAACACAGCAGCATTGTGCTGCTATGTTACACTGGTATTCTGTGAGAGTATGGTCCTTCCTAGATCGAGCCAACACATTCGTGCTACAACTATTGGAGCAATATAGCTCTACCACGTATATAATAAAAGAACTAGCCATAGTTGCAGTTTTATTAGACCTTTAATTATTTTACAGCGACGCATGCACACGTGTAGCGGGGTAAATATTATTTAAAAGTTGACAAGCCAAGAACGCCTTAAGTTCAATAAAGTAGGTAAGCCCCGCGCGGAACACGTTCCAGACGCCTCGCCACTGCTCTTAAAGGAAAAAAAGAGTTACACCACTCTTTTAATTCTAATAGGTGTCGAATTGTAGTTGCGGAGTGAGCCTTCACTTTATGGCTCCTCAAACTAACAAATCATACTTCAGCATGAGGTAATCCATTTTTATAAGGTAACTGACTGGTAATGTCGAGCTCAAACCAACTAAAAACCTATAATGGTCCACCTTTTCCGCATAAAGGCCGAGCTAAAGAACGCTTTCACAGATATCCGCGACTCCACCGTCAGCCACCTATTAGCCTATACTCGAAAGAAGACACTCCTCCCCCTTTCCTTCGTCTCAGGCAAAGTGCGCCAGAACACATGACATGCTCTTTTGTCACCCTTGTATAAAAAATTTAAATAAATCTACGCTTTCAGATATTTTGTAACGGACGGCTTTGCAGAGAGTTTTAACGCTGAACTCCGAATGAAGTTAGGAAAAGAGATTCAGGTTAGTTGATTTATGCACCTTACATAAAATGTTGTTTATTACCTAGTTTAAAGCGCCTTTTCCTCCCTCCCACAATTATGTGTACTATTAGGTACTGACACCAATAAGCCTGATTTCACTTCCCCTAAACCACTACACTAGGAAAAGCATACCTCAGTCGTCAAAACGTGTTTCGCCTCTATACGAGGCATCATTAGGAAAAATCAATTCTGCGATTGCTAATCCCTAAGCGGCCATAAGCCATCGTAGAGTCTACCTAAAACTCTTATCTATGTAAGTCTACTCATCATGATCCTCATTACAGCCCTTTACAAGTTCTCTGCTGAAAGTAGGTCTGCCCTGAGGAAGAGCACCACCACACATGGTCACGAGGCATCTGCATCCATCGCCTAACTGTATGTCTTACCATATCGTCACTTCATCTTAGACCGCAGTATACTTTGTTTGCCGGCTCGAAGCCACTCTAGTACCTTTCTTACCCTTTGGTGGTTTGTTTTTAGAGCTTGCCACTTTACTTCACTTCTAAATATATCATAACTAATTAATTTTTTAATGAATTTCGGCATAACGACGCCCGATTATAATAACCTAGTTATCTTTTTTTTTATAGGATAAAGTTGACAAACGAGCATACAGTCCACCTGATGGTAAGTGGTTGCTGTGGCTCATAGACATCTACATCAGACAAAATAAAATGCAGATGCGTTGTCACCCGTGAGGACTAAGATGGAATGCCTCGTTTCCAGTAAAAAAGATCTCCAGTTCTCTACACTCACCATACGAATCCTTCCCTGGTCGAGCCGACCCATTCGTGATACAACTATACTACTAATATAGCTGAAGCATGGCTCTACCACGTAAAATCTGGTAGTAGCACCGTACTGAATATGTCTATTTCTGCATACGTATACGTTGCTGTGTATCGGCTTAAAGGGTATAGAGAGCAGTATACGAGTATGTAATTGCTGACTGAGAGGCATGCTATCTTAATTCTCAGTTGTGGCAACGCTTTTGTAGCCTTCTTTGTATAACTTCGTTTGCATCTACCTGTGTGGCTCCACTAGCTACTTACCTCAAACGGGAGCACGCAAAAAGGGAGCCTAAAAGGTCGGCTTTCTCTTTTGCGGCGTGGGCCACTGAGTCGTCTTCCCTGTGCAGAGATGGTAGTGATGGCTTACAGAAATTCCCTTAGACAGCCTTGGCGAGAGACCACGGGTTCTCGAAGGAAGGCGAACCAGTTTATATGTTTATATGTTTATATATATATCATATATATATATATATATATATATATATATATATATATATATATATATATATATATATATATATATATATAGGGCAGAATTAGCGAGAGCATATATATATATATACTCTGACTTTGCCCTGGCAATAACTCTTTTGAAGGATATTATATGTATAATAATGTATAATTAAGAAGGATACTTGTTTTTAAGCACGCTGGTTTTTACATCCCGAGCCGCCAAAGCCTCAGCCCAAGCCTGATAATACTCCTACTTTCTGCGTAATGCAGTCTTACAGGAGAAACCAAGGCTGAGATCTGCCTTCGATGGGTACCACAGATGATGGAATAAATAGTTTCATTCCCTGTACACATCACACAGTGTCACATCAGTGACAGAGTAGCAACGGTGCTGGGATTATCCTGCGAGAAGCAAACCCGCCCCCATGGGTATGATGCAAAGAAAGACCGCATTTCGGACCAATCCGCCGACCTGTAATGCCAAACACGGCGGCAACCTGCAGAATGCAACCGCGAGGGGAGCGTGAGTGGCACCACACTCCGGATCAGACAATGGTCCGAAGAGCGGAGAAGGGCATCGACGGAAAATTGATATCCGTCCTGATGAGAAGTGAGCAGAAGGTCCAACAGGGAAGGTGTATGATCCTTCTCATCTGGAATCCGCGTAGGCGAAGTAACCAGTTCTGTTAGACTATATGCCAAGGCTAAGTCATAAACAGATCTTCCCGCATGATCGGTTAAACGTGAACCGTGCCATTAGGCGTGGTGGGTGTTTAAATCGCCAAGGATCACGATCTCTGCGGATGGGACCTGTCGTAGCAAGTAATCTGTAGCCATTTGGACGTGGTTGATGAGCGGGTCTGTTTCAGCATTACCGCTATGAGACCTATAGAGGCACCCGTAGACGCGCGGATGGTCGTCGCTGTCTACGCGTAGCCAAAAAATGTACAGGTCCAAACCTTCAAGACTGCCGAGGAGTCGAGAACAGATGTCCTTTCTGACGTATACGCAAGCTCCAGCCCGAGGCATTTCAATTTGTACCCCGGGTAGGAGAAATACGAAGTATCTGCCGGAGAGGACACCTGCGTCTCGGTCAGAAAGAGCAAGGCCGGCTTCGCCATATCTAGATGGCAGTGGACGGCGTTTAAGTTCGAGTGAAGTCTATTAGAAGCCATTGGATTCGCATTTTGCATAGGAGTCGCCCCTTGCGACACCTTTACATTTTATTTAATAAAACTAAATATCTACTTAAATAATAAAGATTATTAGTTATGGCTGAGTTAGTGCGTAATGGGCTAGTCACTTATCACTTCCTTTAAAATGTTATATCTAAACTTATAATATTATAAACTAGGCTAGACGTATAACTAAGTAAATAACTAAGGCTAAACATGGTCCGAGTAGCTCGCTATTCTTTGGACTCTGTTAGTTTATTATTTTGACTCGTTATCGGGAAGATATTGCTGGCCATCTACTCTTTCAGACAATAAAAAAATCTTTATATCCCCAGTCCCCGCCGCCGCAGCAGAACACCGCTCGTGCGGGCAGCAAGTCCCGGCACCAATGGACGTTGAGTATTGTGCAAGTAAGTTATTTGATTTAATATAATGAGAATGGATGGTTCTCGGAAAGTCCAGTCCCATGCGCCAGTGAGCCATCTGGTTTTACCAGTGGATGCAGTGTAGACTGACAGAAATTTGTCTCGACCGCTTCGGTGAGAGACCAAAAAGCTCTACTGCCTACTGGTTTGACAGAGAGCTTTGTACCGATACGTTTAATGCTGTCGAAACTGGCTTGCCGTAATGCCTTTTTGCAAGGCTTGGCGGTATAGTTAAAGGCTCTCTTCTTAAGGCTAACATCCGGAGCATTTCGGTCTCGACCATCGACCCAGGATAAATACGCCATATGCTTGTGCTTCTCAGCACGAGCGTACTCGGCGTTAAGCCATGTGCGAGCTTTACCACCAATGGGCACGTCAGCAAAGGGGACTAAATACTCCATCGCTTAACGTATGACGTTGGTTATGGTATCCATGCAGCTCGACGGATCTACAGACGAGAAGCAGACCTGCTACCAAGGTAAAGATGCAAATAAAAGCCGCATCTCATTTCAGTCTGCTGACTTGTATCGCAACACTCGCCGCACACCGTGGAAATCGTAGTTAGGTGGGGAATATAACGACATAGGTTTCACCAGACAATGGTCAGAAGTTCCCAAGGGTGAGGTAACCTGAATATTGTTCCTGTCAGCATTAAGCTGCTGTGTTTCATATGGTGAGTGCAGAGAACCGGAGACCCTTCTTACTGGAAACGGGCTATTCCATCTTAGTCCTCGGGGCTGACAACGCATTTGCATTTTGATTCTTAATCGAGGATAAATGTATATCTATGGGCTACAACATCCACTTACCGTCAGGTGGACTGTGTGCTCGATTGCCATCCATCGTGATGAATCTTCTAATCAACGCCTAATAGCTGGCGCATTCTTGAAAACACTTTCAGCAGTGGACCTAAAAAGCTGGTAATATATACATATAATGTATATTCTAGTGGACTTTATTTTAATTTTTTTAACTGACTTTTTAATTTGTTTTGATTTTAATATTTTATTTTCAGGATTCAAATAGATCTCGAACCAACAGCATAGCCGGAGAATCTCTGATAGATTACAACTACACACCCAGTGAGTAAAAAATATTGTTTTCCTTATGAACTTCGACCCGGAATACAACTTGTTTTCAGACTCATTTTTTTTTAAATAGAATATGTTTATTTTATCATCGAAAACAGATACAAAATTATTAATGACTAGCTGTGCCCGCGGCGTAGCTCGCGTATACAGGTTTTACATAAAGAATTTGTCGTTTAGGTAAGATAATATTAAACGATTTATTTCATTACTGTATCAATAAGTGGTAACAAAATAAATCATTATCATCAAAGTTCTAAGTCGTTTATGATAGAACTTTTGTGTAAACGACGTTAGAAGTAGGCTTAGCCGGGGTGTACACAAAAAGGTTACGGGGGCTACTAACGCGGGAAAAAGCAACATAGAGTTGGCCATGTGCAAAACAGTCAGTACTGAGGTACACTCCTACAACGCGTAAAGTTTGACCTTGCGCTTTATTTACGGTCATCGCATAACACACGCTCACTGTAACTGGGAACTGAACACGCTTAAAACTGAAAGGAAAGTTACTTCTTAATAGAGGGTTTTTGGGCAGTGCTGCCAGATAAAAAAAAACTCATTCAGTTCTAGGACAACACAAAAAGCGCTAGATTTCATGAAAACAGCACTTTAAAAAAGCCCTAGATTAGCTAGATCGCGCTAAATTAACTACAAACAAAGTTTGTGTTTTTTTATATAATCATAATAAAGAAAACAACATTAAGTTTTTTTCTGGCAATATTTTTTTGATGTATCAATACTTCGCAGGACATCGACTTATAATTATGGCAATTGCTGTCAACAGTAGTTAGTACTGTACGAACAATAAAAATGTCATTAATTGTTTTAAAGTGCAATGTATTTCGCAACTTAGTTTCAGATGTCAGCATCTGATTGCGGTTGCTACACAGTTTCTTTGTGTTATAAATTCTAAGTAACTTTTAACTAAGCTGTGCTCTAAGCAACTGACTGAAACTGAATAGAGCAAAATAAATGCGTTGCCAAAACCATAAACGATAACTTTAATAAAGGGGATTTCTCCGCTTATAGTCGTCGGTAAAAAAATCAAGTTGATCATCCTAAAGGGGAAGCCAGGAGATCCATAGCACAGGGTATCCTAGTTTGGACTCGTCTCCTCGGCTCTTTGTTTTGTGGAAAAAATATGTTTGAAAAAGATAAACTGCAATGTACTGTTTGTGGGAAAAAATAATAAAGGTCATTATTATTATTATCGGTAATGTGGACTAACAGTGCTGCTATAAAAGAGTTAATAACCCGCTAGTCGCTAAAATATTGAAATGTGTGCTAAATACACCAAAAAGCGCTGGATTAAGCGCTAGGTGCTAAATTTTCGAAATGCGCGATATACATTCCAAAAAGCGCTAAATCTAGTTCCCAAAGCGCTAAAATGGCAGTACTAATTTTGCGTATATTATAAATACAATATCACGACATTTCGTTGCAAAATTTTTATTTTTGGTCGGGTTCTGTTGTGTCGTTTCGATGGATACAAATTTTTTCAGTAAGTCTCAATACGATTCATCGGCGAAAAATCTCAACACAGCAATTCCGAAAAGTTTGTAATTTGTACAACTCCATCTATTACGTTCTTTGTGTGAGAAAACATCCTTTTTAAATCTCTTCTTGTGTTTTAAGTATAAATATATTAATTATTATGGAACGTTTTTTTTACACACAAATCTTTTTATTACTATTTCTGAGATTTTATGGCGCCATTGAACAAATTCGAACCTACATTTCAAAATAATAATCTTTACTTTCGATAGAATTAACCAATTTTAATAAAACAAAGATTAAATGTAACTCGAAGATACGCTTTATGGTTTTCTTAACGATTTCTTTGAAAATAAAAGATGTTTATTTTAGACGTGATGCGTTCATATAATAACAGACAAATAGACAGACAGACAATTCTAAAAATTATAAAATGTTCTTATTTAATTATTTTCAGTTCCCCATAATGATTTTAGCCACCAAAATATATATACAATGTACAGAAAGAGACACAAAATGTTATCATCATTTTTATTATATGTATATATTTAAAGAGAGATGACGCTGCTAACATCAATTCTAAAAATAAAAGAGATTAATTGACGCGATTGATACATTATATAAAACGTAAGAGAACTTATAAATCAGTGCCTGCACAGTAAGCAAAAAATAAAGTTTGACTCTCGCCAAAACCAACGCAATTGTTAATAGCTCTTTTAAAATTTGATTTACCACATAGAGTACTCGGCGGTAAAGAATAAATTAAGTTTGTCAACACGCAGTAGGGCAGCGAGTAATATAATAAAGATTAGCAGTAAATATGAAAACTCATCTACAGCAAAAAACCACATTGCAATTGCATTACATTTTCACAACACCACCATCTATCGAAGAAATGGGTTAACTATTGTGCTTCAGATTTAGTTAATAAGGTTAATATATTTTTGTATAATATATTTAATACGTTCTTTAATACTTTTGTTTACTGCGTTTTAGATATACATAATTATATAATTATTTTACATAATTTAACTATGATTTATGATATGATATTAGTTTAAAATGCACTTGATGACTCAAACAAAGCCACCGTTAAGCAAATTCGTACCTATACTTCCCTACCCATACTTCAGAATATTTATCATAACTTTTGATGGAATGAACTGATTTTAATGAAATAAAGACTAAATGTAACCCGAAGATACACTTTATAATTTCCTTAACAATTTTTATGATATAAATTAGTACTTTATACGTGATACGTTAACAAACAAACAGACAGACAGACAGACAGACAGAAAATTCTAAAAATGGTAGAAATGTATTTAATTACTTATTTTTAGTACCCCTCAATCACTTTTATTACAAAAATATAAAATGTACAGACATCTGCTATTTACAGTTTTATTATATGTATAGATAAACAAATGAAACTGTAAACATAATGAACCCTAGTTTGTGTGAGACTGGTGCCTAATCAAGTTATTTAATAATAACTGTTCTTTAGGTCACCAGGTTATAAATAATTATTTTGTTTTTAACGTTAATCATGACGTTAAAAAACAAATAGCCATCGGGCTATCCCAGTCTAGAACACTACGAAACCTATCCAACTGTAGAGTGATGTAAGACAGGTGGACGTTATATCGCCGAAACTCTTCACTACTGCATTGGAAGACGTTTCCAAGCTACTATTATCAACATCAATGGCGAGTACATCACTCCCTATAGATTGCCTCATAGGGGCGATATTTGCCATAGTTGCCACGCTTGGCAAGCGGTTTGACAATCGCAGTTTTTTTTTTTGTTATTAGGCTGCTGCCAATCAGATTTGTTTCCCTCTGTCACTTCTTACGATACCCACGGGTTGGTATGGGGTAGTGGATATTCTTACACCGCCACTACACGGCACTACACGGACAAGACAAAAGCCATGTGCAGTATGCATGTCATACCCAAGCTAGTAGTTTCTGAAAGCATTATACTCGAAGAAAGAGTATGTTTACCTAGGACAAACTGTCCGACTAAATAAGTCTAACTTCTACCAAGAGGTCAATCGGATTCAACACGGCTGGGTAGCTGGGTAATTCAGGAGATTACGACACCTCTTCTGGCACTTGATTAACAATATACCTCAAAGAACCTACAACTGATGGTACAAAAAGGTTCTTGAGTAGCAGCCTCGTACTGGGAGGTGAAGTTTAGTGCGAGCCCCCCACTAGATGGAGTGAATACCTTGTAGAGGTAGAGGTAGAGATGCAGAGGAAGTCGATGTATGCAGGTGGCTCAAGACCGTGTTTTGTGGCATTCTGTGGGGGAAGATAGCAGTAGGTAGACTTGTAAAGGGTTGTAATGATGATGATGATGATTTAATTTTAATTCTTTATAGTTTTATGGATTTATTCCGTTTATCCACCCTAAAACAGCCACCCTAAGTACATCATTACAGTCCTTCACAATTAAAATAAATTAAATATATTCTTTATTATTAGTGCAATAAGGTGATATACATCTCAGGGTTGATTTTTAGGGTGGATAAACGGAATAACCCATTTTAGGTACTAAGCACTAAATTTTTACTACTAAATATTTTTATTATTATTTACTAAATTATTCACTAATTTCCTTTAATTTAAAAAAATTGAATTGATTAAAGTGTCTCACAACCGGAAAACATCAAAGGCACCAACAGCATAACAGCGAAGTACTCAGAGCCGGATTAAGTTATGTCATGAGCTATGTGTGGGGTCCTCGCACCTAGACAATGGACGTTTCAGTGTCTTTCCCCTTTTTTACAACTCAAATATGCAATTCCATTTGAGTTTCTAACTTTAAACTCAAAAAGCTTATAGTATCTTTTTAGGGTTCCGTACCTCAAAGGAGAAAACGGAACCCTCATAGGATCACTTTTTTGTCCGTCTGTCTGTCTGTAAAGACCCAAGGAACGCTTAAAGTTATCAAGCTGAAATTCATATCAAATACTCAAGTCTATTGTCCCTTGAAGCTGTGAAAAAATCAAACTTCTAAGCCAACGCAATCAAAAGATACAGCCGTTTATGTCGCAAATTTTCGACATTCTCAAGGGATTCATAACCTACAGGGTACTTCCCGTGAACTCAGAATCTTGAAATTTGGTACGAAGCAACGTATTATAGCACAGATAAAGGAAAATTTGCGAAAAGCATACAATTTTAGTTACATCATATTATAAAAATATTTTTTTAAATTTTTACTTATATACCTACGGATTTGTTCGGAACCCTCGGTGTGCGAGTCCGACTCGCACTTGGCCGGTTTTTTATGTAATAACAATATTACAAACGAGTATAAAGTCCACCTGATGGTAAGTAAATGCTGTGGTCCATATTAATCCTCGATTAAGAACCAAAATGCAGATGCGTCGTCGCCTCTCGATACTAAGATGGAATGCCTCGTTGCCATTAAAAAGACAACATAACACAACAAGCATTAAAATTGTCTTTCCAGTTACCAGCTACGTTGTATAATATTAGTAAATATGTAAAATGATTATTCTATCGTCTTTGTTTTCTTTTCCTTTATATTTGAAGGCACAGAAGCCCACGGCGAGGTCACACCGACTGCGAAGAAATCGTCAACTATGACTGTAACGCCAGTACCAGATTCAGAAGAGGTATATAAGTATAGATGATAATAACCACTGGCAATGACGTAATCGCTATCAAACTAGGTATTTCTAATTTGTTTCGTTTAGTCAATTGTGTAACATAATACATGATTGTAAACTATTCTTTTTTTTTTTTTTCAAAAAAGCCCCGCTGGGTTTCTTAATGGTTCTTCCTAAGACAGAAGTATTTTTTTTAAAGTTGAATAAGTATTATTTATTTATAAACTATATTCAATAAAAATGCCTTGCAGCGTTGCCGGATTGACTGGTGATACATATATGTCTTGAGACATTTAAAGACCACAAGCTCGATGTCCATCCAAGTACAGAATGATCTTACAGAACCTATTCAGTTGCATCGTGGAGTGAGACAGGGGGGACACAATATCCCAGAAAATGTTCACAAATGCACTGAAAGATGTTTTAAGACGCTAAACTGGAATGGACGCGGCATCAATTTAAACGGCGAACACATCTTAAACTTACTTTTTGCCGATGACATCGTCGTCATGGGAGAATCGCTGCAAGAACTACAAGACATGCTGAACAGCCCAAATGAATCTTCCCAACGTTTCGGACGGCGTATGAGTTTAAATAATACGAAAGTCATGTTTAACGGTCATGTCACACCAGGAGGTCTGTTGCCACGCTTGGCAAGCAGGTTGGCAACTGCAGTTTATTTTTTATTTTTAGTGGTTATTGGGAAGACGCTGCCCGCCATCTCCCGATTTGTTTCCCTGTGTCGCCTCTTACGACGCCTACGGGATAATACGGGGTAGTGTATATTCCTACCCCGCTACTACACGGTTTACACACTATAACATATTGCTAAACAGTATTGCTTGTTCTTTTCAGGCGAGCGCTTCTCTGCCAGCGCCGCGGCCCTCCGTACCACGTTCTTTGGCGCGCGCCATTAACGACACGTTCCAAGTGAGTTTATCGTAGGGTTTAAATGTTCGATTATATGATGATATAGAGATGTGAAAATTAACTGAAATTTGTGTATAAATAAAAAAGTCCAGGTAAATTTGCGACCACTAACTTCTTTCCTCTTATGCTACAATTATAATGTTTAAACTCGTAACTCGTAATACATTACGACGGTGCGGTGGTGTGTTTTCTAAATGCCCGTGATATTCGATAACAAGCATAGGAATAGCGCGGCGGACTATTTCCTATTCCAAAATCCACTTAGAGATAGGCACAGATTCATTACTTTTAGTCAATGGCGTAGAAAAATACCGCACCTTACTTCATAACCTCTGTTTTATTTTGTTATATAAAAATCTGAGAAATGGTTGACACTGCAGGCCATCCCTGGAACTCCCGCTTATTTTCGAGCGCAACGTTCGAAAATCTATTTAATTTTTGTTTTTTTTTTATGTTTTTAATTTTTTGTTAGTCTTTGAAAAAGTCGAACCGAGCCGTTGAGTTGAAAATGTAAGCAGCTCGAAGTCTCAGTGTAATTGATTCGTTCTAAATTATTTACATACATACATACACACGCACACACACGACTGGAAGTCCAGCCAGGAATAGTCGGAACGGCTTCGTAGGACCTCAAAACGTGCAGATCTGATGAAAACTCGCATTCTTAAAATCCGACCGAAATCTATAACTTCCTACTTTTGAAAATTATTACTTTTCAAAGCGGGAAGTTAAGAAGTGAAAAAAACACAGGTCACGCGGTTTTAATTACTTTACTGTCATCGTCAGCATGTACACTATCCAGGGCATATCCAACAAATGTATTTCAATCAACGTTTTAATTTACAGACTTTCCCCGTTCCCGTAAATGCATTTCCTCGGACACCGTACATCAAAAAGTAAGTTGTTTATTTACTATTTATGCACACTTCTATATATTTAAATGAAAATTATCTCCTTCACCAAGGTTTGCCTGGAAGAGATCGCTGTCTAGCGATAAGGCCAACTAATTGTACATTCATTTATAAATTTAAGTTTGCTGTGTTGTGTAGTATTTTGTGTGCAATAAAGAGAATAAATAAAATAAGTATTTTAGAACAAACAAATGGTCGAAAGTAAAGAGTTATTATTATGTTTCATGAAAGAATTTTCTCTCCATTAGTTATTAAAATATAATCGTTTTTAGATATAGTGGGGCTGCATTAAATTCAAAGCTTCAATGATTTTATTAAAACAGAATGATTTTATTAGAACAGTTATTTAAACAGAAATTAAAATTTTGCCAAAATAATGAATACCAAATTAAAATGGACATGTTAGTTCAAAAGCATAAAAAGAAAGACTTTAAAAATTTTTGGAAGCAAACGAAAAAGGTGACTCCTAAGCCGAGCATCCCGGTGAGCATTGAGGGTGTAAATGAGCCAGGAGAGATAGCAAACTTATTTAAAGAGCATTTTAGGGTAAAATCACCGAACATTTCATCGCGGACGGTGTCATATGTTGAGGACTGCCAGACGGGCGTGCCAATTAGTTTTGCACCGAGTGATGTTTTTGATATAATTAAAAGCATGGCGAGGGGTAAATCGCCAGGGCACGACGGCCTCAGCATTGAGCACCTTCTGCACGCAGGGCCTCATCTCTCCGGGCTTCTAGCTACTTTCTACACCCTTTGTATTAGACATTCCTATCTTCCTGAGCAGCTGATGAGAACTATAGTTGTGCCTATAGTAAAAAATAAAACTGGAGATATCTCCGACAAAGAGAACTATAGGCCCATCTCATTAGCTACTATTATGGCTAAGGTACTTGACAGTCTGCTTGAGCGGCATCTCAGTGGATATCTAAAATTACATGATGCTCAGTTCGGCTTTAAAAAGAGTCTCTCCACTGAGAGTGCAATATTAACACTCAAGCATACTGTTGGGTACTACACCAATAGGAAAACTCCAATTTACGCTGCATTCCTGGATCTGTCTAAAGCATTTGACCTGGTTAATTATGATATTTTGTGGAAGAAGTTGCGTGACGTGGTCTTACCAAGCGAGTTGATTGAAATTTTTAAATACTGGTATGGCCACCAACTAAATCAGGTCAGATGGACAGAGGTACTCTCTGACGAGTACAGGTTAGAGTGCGGGGTGAGACAGGGTGGCCGGACTTCACCAGCGCTCTTCAACCTGTATATAAACCAGTTGATCGTTGAGCTCAGCAACACTGGTGTGGGCTGCTCAATTGATGGGCATTTCGTTAATAGCATAAGCTATGCAGACGACATGGTGTTGCTGAGCCCTTCAATTAACGCACTGAGGATATTATTGAATGTTTGTGATACCTATGCTGAGACCCACGGTCTCATTTATAACGTTAAAAAAAGTGTATTATTGGTGTTTCGCGCTGGATCAAAAATTGAATCGATTCCTCCTGTTAAGTTGAGGAACGTACAGTTAAATAGGGTGTTCCAGTTTAGGTATCTTGGTCACGTATTAACCGAGGATCTGACTGATGATGCGGACATAGAAAGAGAAAGAAGGGCATTGGCGGTTCGCTGTAACATGCTGTCCCGTAGCTTTGCACGCTGTACTGAAGAAGTTAAAATAACACTTTTCAAAGCCTTTTGTCAGTCATTTTACACGTGCAGTCTATGGGTTAAGTATACGCAGAGAGCCTACAATGCCCTTCGGGTACAATATAACAATGCCTTCAGGGTGCTGATGGGACTTCCGCGGTATTGTAGCGCTTCAGGGATGTTTACAGTGTACGGTACGGATGACTTTCATGCTATTATCCGAAAGAGAATCGCATCCCTATTGCGCAGGGTTCGTGGGAGCTCCAATAGCATTCTGAGGGCAATATCTGATAAATTTGATTGTCCCATCCTAGGACACTGGATGCGTATGCACTTGCATGTGCCTGGTGTCATGGGGTGTCGAAAATAAAAATAATTGAAATTAAAAATGTGTGTGTAATAATTTAAGACTAACATAGGTTAAGCTAATTACTAACATAATTATGGACTATATGTGGGTCTGAAATAAATTATTATTATTATTATTATTAATAAAGATTATTAATTTAAATAATTACTTTAATTCTACTACAAATTGAATGCTACAAATTCGAAAGATCTTTTAAATTTTATTAAAAAAAATTAAATTAGGTTTATTTAATGTTAAAAGCTCATTTTTAGAGTTACAGTTAAAAATTAAAATATATATAATGAATTGATTTTAGAATTTCTTACCACGACACTAACAGCTACATAAGAATAGCGCACATATCTACACTTCTACACTTCTACACTTATACTATTATAAAGAGGAAAGATTTGTTTGTTTGTTTGAATTGAATAGGCTCCGAAACTACTAGACCGATTTGAAAAATTCTTTCACCATTAGCATCCTACATTATCCCTGACGAACATAGGCTATATAATATTTTCAAAAAAGTTAGGGATCCGTATGAAAAATTCGTTAATGTAACCCAAGGTGTGAAAAAAATACCAAAAAGAATCCTTATATCGCGTACGCTGCGGAAACTATTGATAATAGAGCAAAGTAATGTACTTCAGTTTTATAGAGGATATCAATATCTGCAAAAAAGCCTGCGATACCATGTTTAACTATTACAGTTATGTCACAATAACTACTTTTTCATGTTAAAATGTGAAATAGTAACGCCAGTACAAAATAGGCCACATTATTCGTATCATGCATAACCACCAATTACGTTAACCATGTAATTTTAGTAACATATTTCACTTTTTAAATCTTTGTTAATTCAGCAACCGTCCGTCGTGATGTCTCTCTCGAAGTTCGCATGTCGCAAGGTGCAGACGCGTGATATACGCGGGTGAAACCGCGGGCCACAGCTAGTATCTTTATACATGCGTACTTTTATTCGTTTGTGCGTCTGTTAAGGCGAGGTTATACAAATACGGCATTAAAAACAGCGTCATTTGTCGTGTCTTATTCGCTAACTAGCGATCCGCCCAGGCTTCGCACGGGTGATTTCTGGATCTCGACAACAGCGCCACCTACCGGGTCCAAATGTAAATATAAATTATCTAGGGGCCCATTTAAATACACACAAAAAAAAAACATTAAAATCGGTCGAGCCGTTTTTGAGTTTTATCGAGACTAACTGACAGCAATTGATCTTTATATATAGATTCTCGCCTTTTCTCTACTATAATATGCATGTATTATATTCATATACATATAAATCTTCCTCTTGAATCATTCTGTCTATTGATGAAAACTACATCAAAATCCGTTACGTAGTTTAAAAGAACTAAGCGTACAGACGGCGGGAACCGACTTTATTTTATACTATTTAAAGATAAAAAGGATTAAATTTTTGAAAAAAGAATGTCCTTTTTTCTCTTGGACGTAAATATTTCGGCCATTTACACTTTGAATAAAATCGTAAAGACAAGTCTAAATTGTGATCTAAATATAATTTTATTTGTGCTATATTAGGTTTCGTACAATAAAACTTAAACCAAATTAATTGTCGTTAAAAATGTATAAAAAATGGCTGTCAATATATTTTTTTTAAATCTACGCCATGTCATAATTATGTGCTTTATTTACTGCTTGCGTGCTCATCGTGTTTCTCTGTTCAGAGTGTTTTTTTTTTATTTACATCCAATAGGTGGTCTGTGGTCGAGTTGATTATTATACTTATATTATTAAAAGTAAGTAGAATGTATATATGTAAATATATTTATACTTAAATACGTCTTGGACTTTATGGAGTGACCTGAATGATGATATGATGATCATATGAGCATTATGAGTTGTGCACTTTTGGATTTTCCAAACTTTTTTCTAAATTGAAGTTTGACATAAGATTATTAGAAAATTGGAAGTATAATAATAAGGTTATTAGTGAAAACTTATATATTATATATAATAATAACCTTATATATTATAAAAAAGTTTGGAAAATCCAAAAGTACACAACTCATAATGCTCATATGATCATCATATCATCATTCATGTCACTCCATAAAGTCCAAGACGTATTTAAGTATAAATATACTTACATATATACATCCTACTTAGTTTTAGTACGTAGTACTGTTATTTATTCTGTGCTTTTAAAATATTGTAATAAAAATCTCTGATTGTTAAAATAATCAATTAATATTTAGAACTCATAGCGCTACCTATTATAAAGTGCGAATCTATGTCCGACGGACCAGTTAGTTATAATATAAATGCTAATAATAATGCTATAGAAGAGGAAATAAGATTCATTTATTTTATTTATTTTCTTCTTCACCAGTTGCCGAAAAATTCCACTGCTGTACGTGAATCGTCACGGCATGGCAGGCGAATTGACAATGACCTGTGGACAATGACAGTAGTCTAAGATCTTTGACAATGCTGCCAGTAGCCTTTGAATATAATACGTCTAGCGTGTACAAGATTTTATATCGCAGTACAGTTACTGGCAGTGAGGTATTTCATATTAGCCCTTAGGTGTGACAACGCATTTATGGTTTGCAGTTAGTTGCCATAGGCTTTAATGGCCATTTCAAATTGAAAAAAAAAATATGTAAGGAAGCATTTGCCAAGGTGCTTTAGTGACGATACGAGGCACAACGCTAAGCTAACGTAGATAAAAAGCTAAATAAAGAAAAAAAATATCTTTTTTTTATTGTTTTTGGAAACAGAGTTAACAATAAGTTGGTGATGGATGAAAATCTACTTGGAGGGCGTGTCGTCACAAAGAAATCGAACAAAGTCCCGCCTGCCAATTTTTCCCTACCTTATGTTCCAGGAGGTAAAAAATAGCATACACTTGATATAATAATAAAAAATGTAGGTTATTTGTAGGTATATATATTTATAGGTGTATTATTATGTTATTTGTGTTTTTATAGTTATATTTGTGTATACATTATTTCTGTTTTAATGGCACCTGCTTAAATTTCTCTGTTTAGCTCATGGTTGTCTGGTAGAGAATGCCTTAATGCATTAAGTCCGCCAATTGTACACTTTATTATTATTATTATGTTATTAAACGTTAAACCTACACTAGGATTTGCTCCTGTATCGTGGAGGCAGCTTACATACTTAAATTGCACTAGCACAAACATCCAGACCGGGAACAATTATTTGTAGGCCATACAAATACTTGTTCCGTGCGGGATACGAACCCGCGGCCCTCAGCGCTACAACTCCATGCTATGCCACTGGGCCACGGAGCTGTCAATGTAATTTATAAATAACTAAATAAATTATATGTATAACGTTATCCATATAGGCACGTGTGATTACGCGACAGCGTATCTCAACGGTTGGTATTCTTTGACCACTTTAATTCATCGAAGGATTTATATTAATAGAATTAGGGTGACAAACGAGCACACAGTTCACCTGATTGTAAGTGGTTGCTGTGTCCCATAGACATCTACATCTATCCTCGTTTGCGAATCAAAATGCAGATGCGTTGTCAGCCGTGAGGACTAAGATAGAATGCCTCTTTTACAGTAAAAAGGGTCTCCGGTTCTCTACACTCATCATACGAAACACAGCATTAAGCCGGTATTTTACGCTGGCATTCTGTGAGAGTGTGGTCCTTCCCCGGACGAGTCGACTCATTCGTGATACTACTATACATACTATTAATATAGCTGCAGCATGGCTCTACCACGTAAAGCCATGCTGCAGCTATATATTGAATTTGTGCACTTTTATTCGTTCATTGAGCTTGTTGAAACGTGTTTTAAGAACATACGAGTGTTCAACAATATATGATACTCAGTTGTGCAGAGAGCATGGGAAATCACAAAAAAAAACTAATTGCTTCCAATAGATGGTGCTATAACTATCACTTAAGCCAGACGCAAAATAGAAACAAAGAAACATTTATATGACCAACACACAATATTGCGAAACATAGACATTCGTACAAATTACAAATTGGTGACTAAGCAGTTGTGTGATGTTATAAGGGATCTCGCCCCAGTGACAAATCATTGGGATACCACAGCGTTGGTTTTCAAATGAAATATGAGTATTTAATTTGAAAACCAAATCAAATCGTCGACGGATAGCAACGTCAAAGCTGCATCTAGTAGTGCAATCGTCAGTCCGCCTGTCAAGAGTGACGATTAAATAAAATCCTTTCTTCTCAGTGGCGTTTCTTCCCAGGGGCTAGGCGGGTCAGTGCCCCGGGGCCCCCTAGCTAAAGGGGCCCCTCGGCATCCAAGAACGAAATTCGAAAAATTATGTACTATCCTAGTAGTAAAAATAATTTTCGAGTTTTAACTTTTTGGCCCCTGACCGCGAACGGCTCGAACTGAAATCACAAAAATTACTCCCACTTCCAGAACATAAATAGAACATTGTTGTCAAAAAAAGTGCAAGCAATGTCAAGTTCAAATACTTGGTAATTGACATATTATTATTTTCATATGTCAATACTTTTGCCGATTTATGAGTCAGGTAACCAAAAAGCTCACCAGCTGAGCACCCCCGACGGAAATCGTAGTGGCGATCATTTTTCAGTTGGTGATCCTAAACCTCATAAGCTGGCAATTCACAATGGTTTTCATTATTTTTGTGAACAAGTTGGATAGGTCTGAGCGGTCGATTTTCGGTTATTTTTTAGGGATCTGGTGCACTAAAGCTGTCTTCTTTGAGTTCGGAACTAGAGTTTTAGAAAAGACACATTATGACCGGTGCCAACTAGGGATCACACATCTTCAACGTAATGGGAGGAACTCCATCAAGTTCACTAGACTTGACGTCTAGGGAGAGTAGTACTATGCGCACCGAGCGCTGTGTAAACCGTATCGTACCGACTTGGAGGCGAAATTATACTTCTTTTTAACAGCGCTGGTGAATCATTCCTATTATAGCGCGATGCAATTTTACAGAAGCGACCAAACAAGGCACCACAGATGATAGAATAAAGAGTCCCATTCCCTGAAGTACCAAATCAGCGGCAGAAGCACGTTGGGATCATCCGGCGAGAAACATACCCGCCCCTGTTCTCAAGGGAAGGATGCAAAAAATACCGCATCCTGTCCCAATCGGCCAACCTATAGTGCCAAACACGGCGGCGATCTGCAGGACGCAACCGTGATGGGAGTTTGAGTGGCACCGTAGTCGGGATCAAACAATGGTCCAATGAGCCAAGAGGGGTGTCGACGGAGACCTAATATCTGTACGGATGAGAGATCAGCAGAAGGTCCGATACGGAAGGTCACCACATCTAGAATCCACGTAGGTAAAGTAACCATTTGTGTCGGACCATATTCCAAGGCAAAATCATAAACAGATCTTCCCGCATGATCGATTAAACGAGAACCAAGCCAATCAGCGTGGTGGCCGTTAAAATCACCAAGGATCACGATCTCTGCAGACGGGACCTGTTGTAGCACGGAGTCTACATCGATTTAGGCGTGGTCGATGAGTCAACCATTACTTATAGACTACATTTGTGTCGGCATTACCTATAGAGGCGAGTATGGTGGTCGCTGAACTTCAAGACTCCCGAGGCGTCTTTGACTCCTTTGTCTTATTGCTCTACTTACCACGAGCGAGTATTAGTCTCCCCCCCCCCCATCCCCAGGATACGCGAGGCAGCCTGAGCTTGGGCGTGGATGCTCAGTCAGGGATTCTCCAATACGAGGGGAGCTGGTTTCTGGTCCTTGGATGGTTTCTTATTTAATTACACTACCATGTTAAAGGGGAGAGGGCTTAGGTCTTCGACCACCTGCACTTAACAGGCAAGTAAACTTCTACTTCACGCTGGTTATCTGTAAGGTTGTGGGTCTGCTCGGTTCGAGCCGGTCCACCCATTCATTACAGCTCCTCCTTTGATGTTTTACCAGGTCGTCACTCTCTCTAGTTTAGCTCACCCGTTTGACAGCAAAAGCTGCCGTGTTGCTCTTCTTTTTGTCTGTTATGTTGTCTGTCTATATTATTAACTGTAATCAACTTCGTCATTGTTTATGCGTTACTGCATAATACTTAGTAGTAAGTAGCTTTGCTTTATTATGCCCTGCAGTGAGCGACAAAGAAAAGATGATGAAGTAGTTTTGCACCTTTAAAGTATTTAGTGTAGTTTAAATAGGGCCCCAATTTCATTTTTCCCCGGGGCCCTTAGTTACATAGCTACGCCACTGTTTCTTCTACGTGAAAAGCGTATCTCCAGCAGTAGACTATTATAGGCTGATGAAAAAGAAAAGTTATCGCATATTGTCCCGAAGATATCCCGAACGTCAGTCTGAGCGAGATTAGAATGGCTCTCCAGCACCTTAAAAACGGCAAGGCCCCAGGCGAGGATTGAATTACAGCGGAGCTTCTGAAAGCGGTTGGAAGACCGGTAATTGAAGTCCTTCAGAAGCTCTTTATTTCCGTCCTCCATGGTGACATTACGCCGGAGGCGTGGAGCAGAAGTGCGGTGGTCTTGTTCTTCAAGAAAGGTGACAACGCTCTCTTGAAGAACTACAGACCGATTTCCCATCTGAGCCGCATCTACGTGCTGTTTTCGAGAGTCATTACGAATCGTCTCGCGCGCAGACTTGACGTCTTACAGCCTCCCGAACAAGCCGGTATCCGAAAAGGCTTTAGTACCATAGACCATATACATACCCTGCGGCAGATTGTACAGAAGACAGAGGAGTATAATCTGCCACTTTGCCTTGCGTATGTGGACTATGAGAAAGCCTTTGACTCCGTCGAAATTTGGGCGGTGCTGCAGTCCCTTCAGGGGTGCCAAGTTGACTGTCGGTATATCGAAGTGCTGAAGTGTTTGTACAGTAGAGCTACGATGGCTATCCGAGTATACAATCAGAGTACGAAACCTATCCAACTGCAGAGAGGTGTAAGACAGGGTGACGTTATATCCCCGAAACTTCACCGCTGCATTGGAAGACGTTTTCAAGCTACTGGACTGGAAAGGATGCGGTATTAACATCAATGGCGAGTACATCACTCACCTTCGATTTGCCGATGATATAGTCCTTATGGCAGAATCGCTGGAGGACCTAAGCACCATGCTCAATGACCTCAATAGTGTCTCCCAACGAATAGGTCTTAGGATGAATATGTACAAAACCAAGAATATGTTTAATGTACATGTCACACCTATGCCGGTAGTTGTTGGGAGCACTAATCTCGAAGTTGTTGACGAGTATGTTTACCTGGGACAAATAGTCCGACTAGGTAAGTCCAACTTCGACCGAGAGGTCAATCGACGGACCGGATAGCTCGAAGAACCGACAAACGATGGGGAAGAAAGGTTCTTGAGTGGCAGCCTCGTACCGGTAGGCGAAGTGTAGGGCAACCCCCCACGAGATGGAGTGACGACCTGGTAAGACATGCAGGAAGTCGATGGATGCAGGTGGCTCAGGACCGTGCTTTGTGGCATTCCTTGGGGGAAGCCTATGTTCAGCAGTGGACTTGTGAAAGTCTGTAATAATGATGATGATGATGATCGTCCCGAGGGTGTCGTAAGAGGCGATTGAGGGAAACTGAAACAGGTGATGTGCGGCAGCATTTTGTCCAATATATTTTATTCCTCAGTCTTGCGTTTCCTCCGGTCACTCCCATTTCTTTAAACATACTAAATGTTGTTTTTTTTTTCCAATAATACTAAATGTGAAATAAAGAGGTTGGACAGTGGATATGTTTTTCAGTCTCAAATTTTAAAATTGTAAGCAGTTAACGCAATGACTAAGCGTTTGGCTGCAGCGCATCGAGCCGCTGGTTCGAATCCCATATGGAATAACTATTTATATGACATAGAAATAAATGTACCGGGTTATTTCTAGGTTATAAAAGTAGTTATATGTTAGACCATTATAATTATTTGGTTTTTTATAGGATAGGGTACACAGTCCACCTGATGCTAAGTGGTTGTTGTGACCCATAGACATCTACATTTATCATCAATAAAGAATGTAGATGCGTCGTCACCCGTGAGGACTAAGATGGAATGGATCTTTTCCAGTAAAATGGGTCTCCGGTTCTCTACGCTCACCAGACGAAACACAGCAGTGTTAAGCTGCCATTTTAAGCTGGTATTCTGTGAGAGCGTGGTCCTTCCCCTGTCGAGCCGACCCAATCGTGCTACTACTATACTACTAATATATCTGCAGCATGGCTCTATCACGTATAAAGATATGGTTACTTTTCTCTACAATACAGGAGATATTTTAGAGCGTGAATACGAGTAACTTTTTTTTAAATAAGATCTGATAAAGAAGAAAATCTCTACATCGGGAAAGATACGATGGTAGTTTAAAGATTGCAGTAAAGGCGTATGAAAATCTATCTCTACCTCTTACCGAGAGGAGTACCAATTTCCTAAAGCAATTTTGGAAAAGTCTCGCGATGGCCTATAAACTTTTCATGCTAAATAAATTTGGCAGAGAGTAGCTTCTAGCTTTTAACATAATAAATAAGACTAACATATCTACCTAAGAGCAGCAGCGGCCTGTTTTTTATAATACACAAATTTTTACTCATTGTAGTAGATTCCTTCGAAGAATTTAGGAGTATTATGACTGTTGACGAATGGATCGCTTGGGGAAGGACCAGTGAAAAGTCACAGAATACCAATGTAGGGTACATTTACATTACATTACATTGTACATTACATTTTACTGGCAACGAGGCCATCCGTCTTATTCCTCTGTGTCTGAAACGCACTTGAATAATTCTAATTCTAAAATACATGTAAGTAGCTAACTGTTTGCGAACACAGCCACAAGTAAGCTGCTCTTGCTTTCTTGCTTGCTTACTTGCTCTCATGTAAACTGTTCTTGACAAAAGCCTTGATTAATTTCCATTACCACATTAATTACGGGTTATTTCTAGTATGCATTATTGGAATTAGTTTGCTTTCAGTGTTAATAATACCTAGTTATCTATTCCTCCAGCGAGCAACAGTCCCATGAAGAAAGCAAAGAAGCCGCTTTTGCATAACTCTGTTAAGTCCTACGATACTTGGGACACGATGGTAAGATTTTTTCTTTCTACTTTTAAAAACGATCTTTTATTTTTTTATTGGAAACGTTGTCTAAACTACTTCAAGATATATGACAAACAAGCATCTGTTTCTCTTACCTTACTTACGAATTTTTATTATCATCACCGTTTATTTTATAACTGATGTGTTCTGGTATAAAATGTATGGAGAGTCAGTCTAATAATAGGCTGTGAGGCATTACGTCTTTGTCTTTATATACGTATCTGTAGCCTTATTTGTTACGACTTAGGAACCTTCAAGAAAAGAGCCTACTCCTTTTTAAAAGGCCGGCAACGCATCTGCGATTCCCCTGGTCTTGCAGTTGTACATGGGCGGCGGTAGTCACTTACCATCAGGTGAGCCGCATGCTCGTTTGCCCACTCTCCTATAAAAACAAAGTTGACAGCAGCTGTCCATGGAATACAGTTGCCACTTAGTATCAGGTGCACTATAAGTTTGTTGGACACTTGAGTTTAAAAAAACAGTCACATTGGGCTAAGTGGCTTTTTGATGTATTTTTCATAACACATGTTCGTACTCGTACTGCATTCGTTTGCAAAAGCACTACGTTTCAAATTTATTTGCATCCAAACTCACAATTATTTAGCCGTGAACGTCACGATCGTCGTCATCATTTGTCTATTATCTTGAGTTGGAACCAATACCAAGATCGTTCCATAAAATATGAACACATATATACATCATCATCATCAACGTCACTACGGTCTATCAAAAGGCGTCTGCTGAACATAATATGCCTCTCCATAGATAGCCTATTTACTTTAGTTGCCATGATTGGCTGGTGGGTCGGCAACCGCAGTTTTTTATTATTTTGTGTTTTCATCGGGAAGATATATATATGTTTCATTCCCCTCTGTCGTCTCTTACGAGACGCACGGTATGATATGGGGTAGTGGATATTTTTACATCACCACTACTCGGCGACATACACCGTGCAGCCTAGTCTTTTTTCAAAGGCCGGCAACGCATCTGCATTTCCCCTGGTGTTGCAATTGTTCATGAGCGGCGGTAGTCACTAACCATTTGGTGAGCCACATGCTTGTTAACTCCCTCCTTTATAAAAAAAAATATATTGCGTAAAATGTCTATTTGATTTACTATATTATTGTTTTTTTTAATCTATAATTTTCTATAATATCTAGCGCAGCGGAGCGGACCTTAGTATTGATGCACGGACCCCAACCAACCTTCCATACATGTGACTGTATGGCTTCTGGAAGATTCCTAAGCATTGACAGTACTGTGTGTGTGTGTGTGTGTTGTCGACAATAAACTGTGATCAAATTGTACTGTGATGATATTGGGTGTTTGTGACGCAAAACAATTATTTTGTGTTAATTGTTGAAATTCTCAAAACTTTGTAAATGTGGCGTATTTTCTAAATTAGTTCCGTGGCAAACATTTCTTGATTTACACATAATATTATAATATTCTAGTGTAGTGTTATTTAAACATGATTAAGGCAGAACCGTTCTTAAAGGAGTTAAATAATTTTCATAAGGCAGTCATACATTTGACTGCCTTATGAAAATTATTTAACTCCTTTTATTGACGGAATGATTTTTTATCTGAAATCCAGAATTAAATTTAAAAAAGTACACAATGTAGTTAGCACAACGTCTGCTATATTAGTTTATTTTTTAATATTGGTTGTAATAAAGGATAGACTATAAAAAAATATTATAAGTAAATGGACAAACAAGAAAGGATAAACTATAAAAAAATGACAGAAATCGAGACATAAACTTAAAATGTTGGTCAAGAATGCATTAGGCTACATAGACAATAATATTGTTATTATTTTTTAATTTATTTGTAATCTTAAAAGGCGGGAAATAAGTATTGGTTCTTTTATTTATAATATTTATAATATCACTAAAATTGTAATACCATTAACTACAATCTATAAATTATATGAAATAATAATTTATGTTGCCAAAAACTAAGTTGTAATTTGGTGACGGATAAAATTTGGAAAATTTTTAAGTGAGTACATTTTGATACGTAATAAAAATAATGTTATTTTGTAAATATGTATAGTGTTACATTTTAATACACGTGGTATTATAGAATCACATGTTTCATTATCGACTTCCGTGCGTGTAGTGCGTACCACAATTTACCATGGTCGCGTGAGAAAATCCACTACCTCATAATATCATCTTGTAAATGTCGTGAGAGGTGACAGAGGAGAAACAAAACAGGAGATGGGGGAGCAGCTGCATTTAAGTATGTACTCGTAAGCTATGGCGGAGGTCAATTTTCTGCAGCGGACTTTTAATAGGCCTGAATCTATACCTATAATAAATTAATGAATGCATGTTTCATTTTTGTTAATTGAAATATTTTGCTGGATATTGCAATAAATGAATGTAGATCGACCTCTATAATAATTTAATGATTACCCATATTATCAAAGAATACAAGGCAATTTTAAATTGTTTTTATGAGAGATGCTACATTACGTGTTATTTATACGAGGTAGAGCCATGCTGCAGCTATATTACTGGTATAGTTGTAGCACAAATGGGTCGGCTCGACCGGGAAGGACCGCGCACTCACAGAATACCAGCGTAAAATAGCAGCTTAACGCTGCTGTGTTTTGTATGGTGAGTGTAGAGAACCGGGAGACCCTTTTTACTGGAAAAGAGGCATTCCATCTGAGTCGTCACGGGTGACATCACATCTGCATTTTGATTTGTAATAGAGGATAGACGTAGATGTCTATGGGCCACAGTAACCACTTACCATCAGGTGGTCTGTGTGCTCGTTTGTCACCCAATCCTATTAAAAAAAACGCGGCCTCGAGATAGAGTTGGATATCAGGTGGGATAGTAGTTAAGCATTGATTTAAAGTAGTTAGAAAAGTAAACAAAAGTGTAATTGTTTAAAAATATATGTACAAAGTCACAAAGTATAACCTAATTCGTCCAATAATCCAAATTCGTGACAATTTATGGGAGTTACTTGTGTAGTAGAGTACCTTTGGTAAAAAAAAGTTATTGGGATTTTCTAAAAGCAAATTCTCAGTAGCAGCCTGGAGTCAGGACTTGGCGATGTTTCACCACTCAGGCACGCCCCGGAAAGCACGTATAGCTGTTGGTCTTCCTGATATCTCTCTGGTTGTGTCAGTTTACCGTCCCATCGGACTATGAGAGTAAGGTAATAGAGAGTGCACCTGTGCTTACGCAAACACTCGGGCACTAAAGTCCTGCAGATGGCTAGTCTCCGTGGAGACTGACCGCCGTGACCGAATTCCGTCTGGAGTGCATTATTATACACTAGAAAGCGAAAAACTTATAATTAAATCGCAACTTATCAATTATGTGTAACCAAAACTGTGTAACAAATAACTTTACCTCAGTCCCAACTAGCGATATTTGATGAGCGTAAAGCTGGGTCCACACGCAGCGATTCTAATCGACGGCGACTCTATGACGATGTCAAAATCGACGCGTGGCCGTGAATATTATTAGCGATTTAAAGTCGCTGCCGACGCAGCGATCGAAACGCTGTCAATCTGAAAAGTCGCTCGTCACTAACGACATCGCTACTGTGTGGACATGGACGCGCGCGCTCGATGCGATTTCATTTGCGTTTCTCACAGAATTTATTGAATTATACTGGTAATTACCTTCCTTATGAATGGTTAAAAGTAAAGATTTCTCAAACAGAAGTTTAAAAATTCAGCTATGAAATTTTAGTTGAAAATTTTAAAGAGGCTTCAACAGAGATGATTTACGAATGGACTCTATGTACATACTATGTTATGTACATAGAGTCCATTCGTAAATCATTTCTAAAATCGTTCGGTTCTTCTAGAGCTAACTCAGACATTAAATTTACATGTGAGTATTTTGGTCTTTGAAGTATTCATTTCTTCGCTCAACATCGTCTATTATTTTTGAAGTTATACTTCTTTTGTGGGCATTTGGGAAAAATGATGAGAGAGTGAATTTTTACAACTCCTAAAAACGACACCATAAAGTTGTTACGATGCGCGCGCACACTGACACAAAAGCAATAACTTTATTGGGTAATTTCTCTCAAGTTTTTTTGTTTTGTTACGCTAAAGGAGTATAATTTCCTACGTGCGTACATAAGTACACACACACTTTTTTCTTTGTCATATATACAAACGGCTGCTATCACTATCGACATTCGACGTCTTTCTAATGATATTATAAAGAATCGAGCACTAGCAAAGGTAATAAACAGCATACAACACTACGTGTAGCGTTGGCTGTAAAGTGAACACTTTCAGTATATAAAAAGTACTTTGTGGTGAACACTAACAGATCGTTACACCTCCGGCCGCCTTCTCCACACTACTGGCGAAGTAACTTCGACGAAGTGCTCGTCGAATTCGAAGAACGTGACTACACACTCTTGCTACTTCGCGAAGAGCTCAGTCATCTTGAGTCTCCCGCACCTTTACCATGAATAACGTTCAAGGGGCAGCTGCTATATGTACCTAATTATGTGAACAGTGCGACGTCAATGCGTTAATTAAATAAATAATTATGTAGAAAGCTACAAATTTAATATTTATATATTAAAAAAAAAATTCATAACTGGCATACACCGAGTGGTGTAGTGAGATGCTTCGTGTATCTTCGGGGTACTTCGCGAAGTCCTTTGACTCTGGCGCAAAAAACCGACACTGATCGGAAGTCACCCGAGACGAAACGAGGTTGGACGAAGCGCATCGAAGTACCTCTACACTATTCGCCTCGTCAAACTTCGATCTACTGCGCGAGTAGTGTAGAGTAGGCATAATGTGGACACAATATTGCATAAATCCGAAATCGCCAGTGAGTTGCGATCGATCGAAGTCGCTGCATGTGGACCCAGCAAAAGATTTTACCACTAAATGTCGCAGCACACCACCTAGTAGGGTCGCCATGTTATTGTTTAACTTGTGATGTCTTTAATTAGACTGTTCTATAGTCTGTTATTACATAGGTACTAGAAAGACTGTTCTTTTAATATAATTCCATACAATAATATGAATGGGTTTTGTGGGCTGCATTTTACTTGGATGTTCATCATTCATCATCATCATCATTACAGCCTTTCACACGTCCACTGCTGAACATAGGCCTCCCCCAAGGAATGCCAGAAAGCACGGTCCTGAGCTACCTGCATCCATCGACTTCCTGTATGTCTTACCAGGTCGTCACTCCATCTAGTGGGGGGTCGTCCTACACTTCGCCTACCGGTACGAGGCTGCCACTCGAGAACCTTTCTTCCTAATCGGTTGTCGGTTCTTCGAGCTATATGGCCGGCCCACTGCCACTTCAGCTTACTAATCCGTTGGGCTATGTCGGTTACTCTGGTTCTACTGCGGATATCTTCATTTCTAAGTTTATCACGCAGAGAAACACCGAGCATAGCCTTCTCCATTGCTCGCTGAGCGACCTTGAGCTTCCTCATACGGCCAGCAGTGAATGACCACGTCTCAGATTTGTAAGTCATCACTGGCAACAAAATTGTACAATTTTGTTTTCAGGTTTTGAGGTATGTCTAACGAGAAGATGTGTCGTAGTTTCCCGAACGCTATCCAGCCGTGTTGAATCCGTCGGTTGACCTCTCGGTCGAAGTTGGACTTACCTAGTCGGACTATTTGTCCCAGGTAAACATACTCGTCAACAAATTCGAGATTAGTGCTCCCAACAACTACCGGCATATGTGTGACATGGACATTAAACATCATTTTTGTTTTGTCCATGTTCATCTTAAGACCTATCCGTTGGGAGACACTATTGAGGTCATTGAGCATAATGTTTAGGTCCTCCAGCGATTCTGCCATAAGGACTATATCGTCGGCAAATCGAAGGTGAGTGATATACTCGCGATTGATGTTAATACCGCATCCTTTCCAGTCTAGTAGCTTGAAAACGTCTTCCAATGAAGCGGTGAAGAGTTTCGGGGATATAAAGTCACCCTTTCTTACACCTCTCTGCAGTTGGATAGGTTTCGTACTCTGATTCTATACTCGGATAGCCATCGTAGCTCTACTGTAAAAACACTTCAGCACTTCGATATACCGACAGTCAACTTGGCACCCCTGAAGGGACTGCAGCATCGCCCAAATTTCGACGGAGTCAAAGGCTTTCTCATAGTCCACATACGCAAGGCAAAGTGGCAGATTATACTCCTCTGTCTTCTGTACAATCTGCCGCAGGGTATGTATGTGGTCTATGGTATTAAGCCTTTTCGGAAACCGGCTTGTTCGGGAGGCTGGAAGTCGTCAAGTCTGCGTGCGAGACGATTCGTAATGACTCTCGAAAACAGCACGTAGACGCGGCTCAGAAGAGAAATCGGTCTCTAGTTCTTCAAGAGAGCGTTGTTGCCTTTCTTGAAGAACAAGATCACCGCACTTCTGCTCCACGCCTCTCGGAGTACTGTCACCATGGAGGACGGAAATAAAGTGCTTTTGAAGGACTTCAAGTACCGGTTTTCCACCCGGTTTCAGAAGCTCCGCTGTAATTCCATCCCCGCCCGAGGACTAGCCGTTTTTAAGGTGCTGGAGAGCCATTCTAATCTCGCTCAGACTAACGTCCGGGATATCTTCGGAATAGTGTCAGATAAGACTCGCTCTTGGATCGCTACTCACACTTGCGTGTGGCTCCAACGACGACGTGTACAGCTGCCCATAGAACCTCTCCCCCTCTCAATCTCACTTAAAATCTCAGGTGTCCCGGAAACGATGCTGCCACACTCGGTCTTCAGCTTCAACAGTTGGGCTCTTTCTGGCAGACAGATCTCTGGCAAAGACTTTGTAGCCTTGGTTCCGCTCGATCGCTTCTTCAATACAAGCTGTATTGAAGTTGCGTAAGTACCGTCGCATGCATTTGGAGATCTGTCTGTTCAGTTGCCTGTATGCTGTCAAATCTGTTGAAGAATGTAGCTTCATCTCCCATCTAACAGCCATGAGATTAAGAGTGTGATCGGAGAGTTTTTGTGTTCTTCTGCGGCGGGTCTTGCAGAACTTAGCTCCGACTACATGGACAGTTTCTACGAGCTTGTCATTCATATCGTCCACTTCATTGCAGTCTTCTAGGCACTGAAAACAGTTTTGTAACTCGAGCTGAAAGGTTTCGGGACTTTGGAACAGAGCACGAGGGGGACGGAGCGTTGACTTCATTAGACGAGACCTCTCCAACTTAACGTTTAGGTTCAATGTGCCTCTAACCATTCGGTGATCGTTACCAGTTTTCACCCTCGCGATCACGGAGACATCACTGAACAGTTGTCGTCTGGTAGTCATAATGAAGTCATTCTCATTTTTTGTCGAACCGTCGGGGCTCGACCAGGTCCACTTCCTGTGGGGCCGCTTCTGGAAGAAAGAGTTCATCATAAAGAGTCCCTCTTTTTCCATGAAGTCGGCCAGCTGCTGGCCCCTTGGGTTTCGTTGCCCTATTCCGAATTTCCCTACTTTCAGCTCACCGTTCTCTGTGCCTAGTTTTGCGTTGAAGTCTCCCATTAACACCGTATAGTGGGTTTTGGAGGAATGCATGGCTCTAGAGATATCCTCATACATTTCCTCCACCTCCTTAACTTGGATGTTAATACCCGTTTAAGCATAAGAAGGATAGTTAGAAATGAAACCAAACAATATATTTATGTTTATTTATTTATCCTAATTGGCAGTTTATAACTATAAATAAGTTTATAACATAGTAGAAAATCGAGATAATAAAATGGCATACACAAAAAAGCCAATGCGATACTTTAAATTCCGTAAAGGAAATCGAATCTGGATTTTACTACCAATATCTAATACAATTAAACAACGCGCACGCAATTAGGGCGTCCACCACAGAGTATATAATCACTTCGTGCATTGACAAAATATTTGCCCATCAGGGCGGCGCCACTTTGGAATGATTTGAAATATTTGACAGATTTCATGGAAGGGGAGTTAAATTATTAGGCAAAGACTATAATAAGTATATACAGGAATTATTAGGAAAATATAAAGTTTAATGTTTCTATCTGTAATATTAAGTATATTTTATATTAATTAGATTAAAATTGATATATCAAACTACGGATATACATTAAAGTAAATTAGAAAAGAATTAAAAAGGGAGTAAAAATTGGAAAAATAAACTTAAGTGCTACTACGACAATGTTTTGTATGTAATAGATGTATATACAAGAAACCAACAAAATTTTTATTACGTCAGTCCCAACTAGCGACATCTGGTAATCGGTAAATTAATTAAAATTAAGCCCTCATTGCTGTGCCGCGGCCTAGATATACATATGTATGTGTGCGCAACACGTGCACGTAACACTTGCACATTCGTAATAATATATGAATATATTTATATGAAATTGAAGTCTAATACAATTTTGGAACCAACCCCAGAAGTTTTAATAGAAGTGTTTTCTGCTCTAGAATGTATATATTTTATTTTTACAAACTAAAATTGCTAGCGAAACGTAACCTTAACGGGGGTGTAAATAGAAATTTAAAAGATCGAGATCAGTTCTTATTAAATACATGTTTTCTTTCGAATCAGCACCATCTACATGGTCCTTAAATATTATAAGACACGTCAAAATACTTAACGAGAAATTTACCAAGAAACAGTCCTTTGTTATTAAACATACAATTGTTTTTTAAACCTTACTAGTTGTTTTCTTGAAAATTGATCGATATTCTAAACAGCCTATAGATTGCTTCGACGATTTTATATGATTTATCCTTTTTATAGTTTCTGTTTCTGAGAAAATTAATAAATGCCATTTTTCTACCGTACTTTAATATCTGTCAGAATGCGATCATATTAATAACATATGTTTATTGCTGCGCAGAGTTTATAATATTGATACAATATTTGTATGCGTAAAAAGACACTTGTGATCGTGATGTTACGGGGATGTTATTGATTATGGGATGAGTCTTAGACGAAGTGTTAAAGGTGCAATGCTAAAAATTGTAAGGATAATTTCACTTCAGTGAGTAGGGTCAGCAAACAAATATTGTTAGCAACATTATGCTACTGCCGAAAAAAAGACATTTCTCTCACGACTTTAATAGGGAAATTGATCACTAGAACACTTATTCAAAAATATTTGTTTAAATAGAAAATTGTGTAAGAAGTGATAGGTGGCTAGCCATAGAGGAATATAACCACTCTTATATAGTCAGTGGTGGCTAGCCCATCTCTTACACAATCACAAACCTAATATCCTATTAGATGCCTTTTATTGATATAGATCCCGCATTAACATGGGGTCGGACCTATACAGAAACAGAAACAGAATATATAATATAAAATATTCTACTCGTTTAAAATTATGTTACTTTATAACCTTGACTTAGAAAAAAGCACTATAAAGAATCCAAATAAATTATGTATTTACGATGTAAATTTCAAGACATCGATTTTTCTAATTTAGCCACCTCACATTTTTACCCTATGCATTTCAGTACAAAGTATAAGTTATAATCTTTTATATTTAAAAAAAAAGTCTATGCTTTGTTTGTTGTTTTTTCTACTTAGCACTTTGTGATTTTATATTGTTCATTTAGTACAATGCATTACCCCATTTGATTCCGTAGGTTATCGTAAAAGGCAACTAATGGGATATTCCTTACCGAGAAGGTATTTTCAGAAGAAAACGATACATTAAATAAAAAATTTCAAAACAACCTTAGCGTACTGTTAATTAAGTAAAATATCAAAAATGTTATGTGGCACTTTTCCACTATGTTTAAAGTAAACTTAGAATTGCGTAATTATTCTAAGTTAAAGGCGTTTCGTACTGGCGACTACACGACAAAAATAGGAAGACGTCTTATCACAAAGGTTTTATATCTTAAAACCAATACAGTAAAGATCAATCTCGCGTAACATAAACCAACGTGCCTATATTACACCTAAATTAATATATTGACTGGTGTGTAAAATATATCTTATCTAATAACGTTTACATATTAAATTGCGTTAAACGAAAGAAGATGGCGACGGTTAGAAGACTGGAGGCTGTTCTGGTGGGCACGGTGTTGAGAGTAATTCGCCACCACTCTCTGTGATGGCGACCGACTTGTGGTAGGCAATAAGGTCAGCTGGAACAAAAAAGGAAAAAGTATTTTGAATGTGTTATAATGACATATTTAATTCTTAATAATAATAATTTTAATGTCATATTGTTGTAATTATCGTCATCAGTAGTAATCTGTTTAACATTCCCTCCCCTCTCGTTCCCTAAGATTACCATAAAGCATTGTACTAAGTCATGTATATGCACTTAATGACTACATTCGTAAGAAGATTGTCTACATCTAGTGAATGTTAGTTGTAGGTATGTATTGAAATTAGTAAAATTAAAGAAAGTAAAATTACAGCCTATATACGTCCCACTCCTGGGCATAGGGATCTTCAAATTCCTAACAGGGTATTAGGGCAAGGGATTATACAAACTGCCCCAATGCGTGTTGGCGGATTTCATGTCTTCAATTTTTTTTTAATTTCTCAGATATGCAGTTTTCCTCACGATGTTTTACCTTTACAGCCAAGCACCATCCCTTCACGAGTTGTTTATTTGTTCTTCCCAGGGCAATACAACTCCGTATGAAATTCGAGAAACTTGCACACAATTATAATTTTTTATGCGTGTGGATTGGGCGTATAAAATTGAAGCGAGAAAAAGATATCGCTGTTTCTTTCGTTCGCGTGGTTTCAGATTGTCAGATAAAAAATACATATTATATCGATATATTATATTATATAGATTTGAAAAGCCGTGCCCATTTAGTGCGCAAGCGGGAGTTTTTCTAGAGGCCATGTAAGTAGATGGTTATTATCACGTAATCGGTTAATTATCGTTGTCGGATAGTTGTAGTGGATTACTTATCGAAGGTTCGATTTCCGAGCTAGGCATTTTTTGTTGATCGACCGTGATGTGTATCTTCGTTTATACTTGTATCGTTATCGTTTATCTTGTATTTGAACTAAAGAGTAGTAATTGTATTTGCGCAATTTGAATTTAACTTGATTTGATCGCACTAGTATTTGTTATTTGTTAATTTGATTTGTGTCTTTTCTTTTGTGCTAACTTGTATTTGGTTGATACGTAGTAATTCGTATTAGTGCGATCTCTATTCAACGCGATTAGATAGGAACTGCATTTATTAACTTTTAATTTTTTGGTGTATTTTTTATTTGTTATCTTTGTAATTTGTGCTCAAGCCGCGTCGTAATTTGCATTTAATAGTGATGACATCGCCCAGGAAGGGCATCCAGTTCAACCCTCCGGCTTGCCCGCGTTGGGGCTGTAATTTTGAGGCGTGGGTTAGGATTGCAAGATCTGATGGAGTGTCTAAGGTGGCCTGGTTTGGTTGTAGATTCGGTCTTGCAACTTGCCGTCGCGACCCTGTCTTGCTGACCGGTTTTCTAGCGGACCTAAATCCTTATGTCCGGGACGTGGTTTTGTTCACGCCCGAACGCTGTTTTCGGAATTTGACGCCAGAGGGCGCTCGGCTCGGCGCCATACCGGTTTTGACGTTCGGTCGAGCGGTGTGGCGAGGGCGCGCGAGCGCAAAAGTCGGTTGCCAGTGGTGCTTAGGACAGCACGCTGCCATTTTTTTGTGCGGGAACGCGGAATAGTTTAGGCGCGTCTAGTAAATATACTGTCTAGCACTCGTATCGCGCATTCCTTGTTTGAGAGCTTTTCCCGGGACTTATTGTGTCTAACTCAGAATCTGTATAAGGGTATTCGATAATATTAGCTACTACTGCGGCATTTGATATTCTAGAAATAATTGTTGCCACGCAAAGCGGTAGTGAACTTTGATCCGGACATTCGTGTTCGTGCGGTGTGTTACGTTTTTGCTTATAGTAACGGGATTTCGTATAGACCGACATTCTGTATTTGTGTTGGGTGTTACGCTTTATAACAAATTAGAGTTAGTGGCTTCTTGAAGTTAGTTAATTGTACGATAAAGTTAAGGACTGTCCTCGTGACGAACGAAGAAAGTGACTGTGGACGACTCCGCGGAAGATTACCACAATTTGGAGCGGTGCTGAAGTCCGAGCTGCTGCCGACGGTAACGGTTTCATAAGGTCTACCACACTCAGTCACACACAGATACATCTCAGTGACCCTTACTTCCCATGCACCATACAACCACATGCGACCTGACCGAACCCTGAGGGACCAGTCGCCTTGGATATAGGTAAGTAAGCTCGGTTTTAATATTCTCCCTGTTGAATGGCAGTAGGATAGAACGCTCCCCCTTATTGTTTATTGTAATTAGGAAATTCCACGCGGCCATATTGAGGCCCGACGTACGTCTGTTCGTTGAAACCCCGCTGACTGGCCCCGGAGGATTGAATCTTTGTGGGAGCAGCCGTAGGCTGTAACAGGTGTATATAACAAAACAATCTCTTCCAAAAAATTAAATTACATAACTATACTTATTTTTCGTTTTATTTTATCAAACATACCCCTCTAAAGTAAATTTGAGTAATTTTGGTGCAACCTCTCAAATGTATGGGAATTAACCCAATAGGTTTGTGAGGCTCAACCCAAAAATTACTCAAATTTGCCTTAAACAAAAAGTTCAATAGTTACAGAATACAAGGTTTGAAATTCCCGCTAAAAAAGTTTTATATGGGCCCCTACCGTGGCGCTTTTAGTGCACACTCATAAACACGCGATACCAGGTAGTGCTTGCAGCGCGTCTCCGCGCGGTACGACACTGCGTGGCCCCACACCCTCACACCCCGGCAGTTACCTAGCGAGCGGTGCGCGCGGCTGGCGGCTCCGAGCAGGCGGTAGCCGCGCTCCGCCTCCACCAGGTAGTGCTTGCAGCGCGTCTCCGCGCGGTACGACACTGCGTGGCCCCACACCCTCACACCCCGGCAGTTACCTAGCGAGCGGTGCGCGCGGCTGGCGGCTCCGAGCAGGCGGTAGCCGCGCTCCGCCTCCACCAGGTAGTGCTTGCAGCGCGTCTCCGCGCGGTACGACACTGCGTGGCCCCACACCCTCACACCCCGGCAGTTACCTAGCGAGCGGTGCGCGCGGCTGGCGGCTCCGAGCAGGCGGTAGCCGCGCTCCGCCTCCACCAGGTAGTGCTTGCAGCGCGTCTCCGCGCGGTACGACACTGCGTGGCCCCACACCCTCACACCCCGGCAGTTACCTAGCGAGCGGTGCGCGCGGCTGGCGGCTCCGAGCAGGCGGTAGCCGCGCTCCGCCTCCACCAGGTAGTGCTTGCAGCGCGTCTCCGCGCGGTACGACACTGCGTGGCCCCACACCCTCACACCCCGGCAGTTACCTAGCGAGCGGTGCGCGCGGCTGGCGGCTCCGAGCAGGCGGTAGCCGCGCTCCGCCTCCACCAGGTAGTGCTTGCAGCGCGTCTCCGCGCGGTACGACACTGCGTGGCCCCACACCCTCACACCCCGGCAGTTACCTAGCGAGCGGTGCGCGCGGCTGGCGGCTCCGAGCAGGCGGTAGCCGCGCTCCGCCTCCACCAGGTAGTGCTTGCAGCGCGTCTCCGCGCGGTACGACACTGCGTGGCCCCACACCCTCACACCCCGGCAGTTACCTAGCGAGCGGTGCGCGCGGCTGGCGGCTCCGAGCAGGCGGTAGCCGCGCTCCGCCTCCACCAGGTAGTGCTTGCAGCGCGTCTCCGCGCGGTACGACACTGCGTGGCCCCACACCCTCACACCCCGGCAGTTACCTAGCGAGCGGTGCGCGCGGCTGGCGGCTCCGAGCAGGCGGTAGCCGCGCTCCGCCTCCACCAGGTAGTGCTTGCAGCGCGTCTCCGCGCGGTACGACACTGCGTGGCCCCACACCCTCACACCCCGGCAGTTACCTAGCGAGCGGTGCGCGCGGCTGGCGGCTCCGAGCAGGCGGTAGCCGCGCTCCGCCTCCACCAGGTAGTGCTTGCAGCGCGTCTCCGCGCGGTACGACACTGCGTGGCCCCACACCCTCACACCCCGGCAGTTACCTAGCGAGCGGTGCGCGCGGCTGGCGGCTCCGAGCAGGCGGTAGCCGCGCTCCGCCTCCACCAGGTAGTGCTTGCAGCGCGTCTCCGCGCGGTACGACACTGCGTGGCCCCACACCTTCACACCCCGGCAGTTACCTAGCGAGCGGTGCGCGCGGCTGGCGGCTCCGAGCAGGCGGTAGCCGCGCTCCGCCTCCACCAGGTAGTGCTTGCAGCGCGTCTCCGCGCGGTACGACACTGCGTGGCCCCACACCCTCACACCCCGGCAGTTACCTAGCGAGCGGTGCGCGCGGCTGGCGGCTCCGAGCAGGCGGTAGCCGCGCTCCGCCTCCACCAGGTAGTGCTTGCAGCGCGTCTCCGCGCGGTACGACACTGCGTGGCCCCACACCCTCACACCCCGGCAGTTACCTAGCGAGCGGTGCGCGCGGCTGGCGGCTCCGAGCAGGCGGTAGCCGCGCTCCGCCTCCACCAGGTAGTGCTTGCAGCGCGTCTCCGCGCGGTACGACACTGCGTGGCCCCACACCCTCACACCCCGGCAGTTACCTAGCGAGCGGTGCGCGCGGCTGGCGGCTCCGAGCAGGCGGTAGCCGCGCTCCGCCTCCACCAGGTAGTGCTTGCAGCGCGTCTCCGCGCGGTACGACACTGCGTGGCCCCACACCCTCACACCCCGGCAGTTACCTAGCGAGCGGTGCGCGCGGCTGGCGGCTCCGAGCAGGCGGTAGCCGCGCTCCGCCTCCACCAGGTAGTGCTTGCAGCGCGTCTCCGCGCGGTACGACACTGCGTGGCCCCACACCCTCACACCCCGGCAGTTACCTAGCGAGCGGTGCGCGCGGCTGGCGGCTCCGAGCAGGCGGTAGCCGCGCTCCGCCTCCACCAGGTAGTGCTTGCAGCGCGTCTCCGCGCGGTACGACACTGCGTGGCCCCACACCCTCACACCCCGGCAGTTACCTAGCGAGCGGTGCGCGCGGCTGGCGGCTCCGAGCAGGCGGTAGCCGCGCTCCGCCTCCACCAGGTAGTGCTTGCAGCGCGTCTCCGCGCGGTACGACACTGCGTGGCCCCACACCCTCACACCCCGGCAGTTACCTAGCGAGCGGTGCGCGCGGCTGGCGGCTCCGAGC